GTTTTGAATTATTTATGACACGAGTTACGATGGCTTTGAGTTTCAGTGTCTTGCGTAATGTATGAGATTTCATCTATGTGAAGTCCTTGAATTCTATTGCGATCTTGAGTTCTATTTGAAACTTGAGTTTTACATGTACTAGGGCCTTGAGTTCTATGGGTGTTTTGAATTATTTACGAGGGCTTTGAGTTTCAGTGTCTTGCGTAATGACACTTGGAGTTTGCGAAGTACTTGAATTCTTGAGGTCTCCGCATGGGGTCTTATTTAGAGACTCGGTACTACGTACGAGGAACTTATCTCATCCTTTTATATATCGTAATTAGAACTATATGAAAATGTATTCTTTCATATAAATGAGGCAATAAAACAATACAATTGATCCCCATATGATGCGTTTGTTTCATAACAAAGGGAACTGCGTTGTTTGAGGTGTTTCTTAAATTTCGTGTGGACTAGCCATTACGTACACTGACCGAAGGACTATATTTAGTGTCTGTATGCCCATACAGGAAACAAATGCATGGATATTCTGATGTTAAAGCTGTTTGGCGCACTCTGAGCGTTTCTGGTTTATCTTAATCGCAAAATACAAGATCGTTTACAATTATTATCCTGTATTTATTCATTTGGAGTCAGATGGGAAACATCATTCAAAATTCACAGATTAAGTTTCAAGAAGCACGTATGCTAAATAGGCGTCGTCCTCTGAATTTACCGTATGTAACAACAGGTACTGGAAGGCCTATGCGATTTTGTTTAGCGTGTTTCAGGGAAATCACATACAATACAATATACAATGTAATATGGTTCATGGTTTAGAGAATCCTATATTTTCATCTCATTGAAATTCATAAAAGCGTGCTTAGTGCTGGTGCGAATATGAATTTTCTTGTTGTTTAAATTCGAGTTCTCAAGGATGATGTTTGAAACGGTATATTCAGATGATGAAATAACATTTGAAAATATGTAGCTTCAAAATGTCTTCGTTGATATATCAGAATATATTGTGGGTGAAAATGATGCCGGTGTAAAAATGTTCAGCGGGAAAAATAATTATCTGTGCATACATGGACTCTCAACTAGAAGGGTAGGCAACTTCCCATATTCCATACATAAGCATTGCCTTTGGGTTTTCAAAATTGGAGAATGTACACATTCCAGAAAATCTTGTTTTGTACTTTTTACGGATGATTAAGAGAAATAACTAAAAAAGCATGATTATCTACATATATGTTGATAATTTAATAAAAAATGGAATTCATCATAATTATGACAATACAGAAAGTGAACATTCTCCCACAAATTATGTTTTAATTGGAATGTGTTCTTGAATAATTACCCACAATGCAATACTCGAAGAGAACATCTTGATACCTCTTATTCTTATTAGTCTTTTTTGTTTACTTTTACATGAGATTGAATATATCTTCTGCTTTAATCCTATTGAAAATTGATTTTTAATCAAAATAATACTAAAACATATACATTTATCTAATAATTTTTGAAATATTACCATAAAAGGGAAGCATGGCATTGCTCATTTTGAAGGTCTCATGTTATTACACAGAGTTGCATACCCTTCCCATGGTGCATATAAGAGGCCACGTGGATGTCAGACACAATGCAAAGCGTCATCTCGCGATTTTGATAGAATTACATGATTATAATTGTATTACCAGATTACAGTGAAGGGCAGGGAATGATTTACGAAGCAGTTGCATCTGTAGTTATGAACTGTTTATCTTGTATGTCATCGGAATAGCCACGGGGCAATGTTTCAACATCTATAAAGGATGATCAAATGTAGAGGTCACAATATAAATAAAGAACGTGTTTTCTTTCTCCATTTTTATTGGATTAAATCGAAAAGATTATTGTCTTAAATAATTGGCTTTTCACGACTTCTTTTAATCACACACACATTTTGCGTTATGATAACCTTTCTAACTTTGATATCTGTCATTCAGTAATCCATTTAAAATTATGAGAAGGGAGATTTGTAAAAACATAACTTCGTTGATATAATAATGAAGAATAAATAGTACTATACCACGGGTACTGGACTCACATGATGTTGCTCAAGAGTGAATGATGGCTCAAATGAAAAATGCGGATTTAATTTTTGCCGATTTTTATAACAAAATTATTTCATAGAACTACTCTTTACAGTGACATGGCTTTTACATGATTATAAAATACAATGCAGGACGCCTGAAATTATTTGTAAAGCTAGGAAAATAGACAGCTTTTGAACCAGGAGTCATATAGGAGTTTTCTGTATTGATGTTGAACAAAAATAACTCAAAACGTGACACCGGTTTTAAGGAAATGGTCCAAAAGTGAATTTTGCGAGACAAATATGGCGGCCATTTTGAAAATAGGCAAGCTTTTGAACTAGGAGTCATAGGGGGTTTTCTATATTGATGTTGAACAAAAATAACTTAGACACGGGAATGTTATTGACAGAGATTTTAAAACGGGCCAATTGTTGACATACGGACAGACGGACGGATAGACAGACAGACGGACGAGTGAGTGATTGAAATAGCTTACCACGTGATTCTAATCATCTTTAAGGTTGTAAGATTCTTATTTACAAGCATTTCATCACCTCAGAAATTATCCCGAGTCTTGGGAGTCTACCAATCCGATCAGGTCAAATGAATGTTTATTAATGCTTCGATTAACATACAATTGTTATTAAACATAAAAATAAAATATTGATTAATATTTAGCAAAAGCCAATTGTATATTTGTACAAACTTCAAATATGTTATAATTTCTACGGCGCCATGTTATTTACAGATTTAAGCACGATTGAAAAGAAAATATTGTACCATATGTTAACGCAACTAAAATACTAGTATCACTTATAACAATATTTATACGAGACACTGTCCATCAATAGGAGATGGGATGATTTATACAGTGTATGCATATTTATCAAGGATTTGTAACATAATTTTTAATGAGAAACTACACAAAACAGAATTGCAATTTCAAATGATCAAATGTACATTATATGATCAGGTGCACGCCAAATGATCAAATAAATTCGCAACGATTAAATGGACACCATGATCAGTACATTGCATGATCAAGAGCACACCATATAATCAAATGTACACCACATGATCAAATGTACACCTCATGATCGAATGTTCATCCCATGATCAAAGGTACACCCCATGATAAAACGCACACCACATGATCAAATGTACACCACATGATCAAATGTACACCACATAATAAAGTGCACACCACATGATAAAATGCACCCTACATGATAAAATGTACATTGTATGATTAAGGAATAAATAATGATAGGCCATTCAATATGGTGAAATTCAGCACGAGTTGGACAGAATGTTGTACAAAGCACGAACCGAAGGTGAGTGCATTTGTACTAACATTCTGTCCAACGAGTGCTGAATTTCACCATATTGAATGGCCTATCATTATTTATTCCGATTCAAACATAAAAATTAGTAAAAGCCGTGTCTGTGGAACGGGCATGAAGGAAGAATACGCATGCTGTCAAGATTCTGAAGAACAGCTATCCCCGGACAGAGCCCCAGATGTGCAGCTGAGATGTGACGTCACTCAAAACAATTTTGCAGATTGAATAGAGCATTGTCGTGCATCTATGGAGAATTAGAGAACGTTCTATATTGGCTATGCTGCATTCTGATTGGTTGAGAAATTCGAATAGAGCACGGTCATGTTTGAATTAAGAGCACACCACATGATCAAATGTACACTACATGATTGAGGTGTACCACATGATCAAAGGTACACCACATGATCAAGTGCACACCACACGATCAAATGTACACCACATGATCAAGTGGAAACGATATGATCAAAAGTAATCAACATTATTCACAACATAATCAATTATATATCACATGACTTATTTTAGACTTTCTGCACAATTATGTAATATATGTCTTTACTATTCAGCAGCTCATTTAGTTCATATTTTATAAGTTCTTTATGAACTGCAACTCCACACTTGCACTGTTCTTACAAAATGATTACCATTTTATGACTGATAGGCGCTATAACATCTCGTATCAATGAATAACTGAATTCTTAAGTTTGCGAATACATGAAAAATGATGAGACAGCATCTGTATTCTGTACCTATTACTGGTATTGATGCTTGTTTCAAGTACCGGTGTGTCTCTTATTATATAGCACTGTGGCAAGTGGAAAGCCGAGGATTCAGTCATGCACATGTTATGTATCATAAGTTTACGTGTACATTATAGGGAACGGGGGCATTACAAAAATATAACAGCAAATCGAGGTGATTTCAGAGTTTCCACTCAACATCATATCTGAAAATCTTACACATCGTCAATTTAATGATCGTCTTTTGAATGGTAATAATATAATTTGAAATAAATATATTTACTTTTCTCTGGATTGTTTTAAAAAACACATCTGACACTTCTTTTGTTCTTGGTATCATATGGGTATCGATATGGTGAATTTTTTGAAACGAAACATCTATCCGGACCTATAATTGGAACAAAATGCCATAAACACAACGTGTCCAGGTCTTTCAATATTGTAATGGTACAACGGAAAGTTTGGTTGATCTTGTTAATGAAATAAAAGGTTAATCTTAATTTTTTATCTATTTTGGGGGGTTTTGTTTTAATTTTTAATACTTGTTGTTAAATCAACCAAAATGTCCTTTGTATAACTATATAATATAGAGAGGTCTAAGAAAATGTTGTGTATGTTATTTTATTCAAACAAGCTTAGAAAGATATTTTATTTCATTCTCAAGAATTGGTAAAAAAGAACAAAAACAAAACAATTGCACTAAAAAACAAAAAATGTTAACAAAAAACAGTTATTTAAAATATATTTAAATAATTATTGCATTAAATTGTTGTCAATCAGTCAAAATTACATAAAGGACCGTGTTTTTACAGAATGTTTTCAATAATTTATTTAAGAGAAAAACATTGTTAAATTCAGTTCACCATATCGATACCAATTCTTAGGTCTAAATCATGAAATCAAGAATTTTGCACACACTTGTGAAAAAATCCTGGGGAGAACAACATTGTCATAATTAAATTGCTTTTTCAAAACGGGTATTTTATACAATAACCCCAAAGATATTATGAAAAGAGTTGGATTTGTAACACACAAACATATTTGGAAACATGACGTAATTATATTACTTGAATTTCTCTCCATTTACAAGGTGAATCCATGGCAAATTATACATACCTTCTCACAACTGTAACCAATGATAAAACTGGTCAAGTGAACTCGCTTGAGTTATCTATTGTCGTAACAATACCACCGAATGTGTGTTTATATTGTAGCTACAAGTTGGTAAATCAATGAAGCGTGATATGCAGGGATGAGTTTATATGGATTGTTTAAACAAAGGTGCATAATTCTTCCATTAAAATGTACAGAAGCATGAACTTATGATACATAAGATGTGGCTGACTGAATCCAAATATTTTGACTAGCCACAGTGTGTAAAATAACAACTTAGCCCCAAACTACATGTATTTGTATATTCTACAAATACCATACAACTCATTGCAATTTTCTCAAATATTGCTTATTCATGTTAATTGTATTTTCTGTAATATACCCCCACTTATTGTTTTTTCTACACATGATCCCTGACTATTGAGTTTTCCACAAATGTCCCTTCCTTTCATCTGTTATTGTAGCTTCTGCATAGGTCTAAGCTCTAGCTCAGGGCTGGCAAAGCTTGGTGATGCAGTGGAGTTGGACTGGACTGGACTCCGCTGTGACTTTCTAAGAGGTGTGGGAGTGTGAAACATCTTAAAAGAATGCTGCACACTAGCCTTACTGGAACAACATACAATCATATGGAAAAACCTTTATTGAAATAGTAGATAAATACTGAGTAAAACTTTTATTGAAATAATATATAAAAGAATGATTGATGATGGCCTTAATGAAATTAAAAGTGTACACTGGTATAAACCTTTATTGCAACACTAAATAACGAGGAATTAAAATTGAGTAAAACCTTTATTGGAAGAATTGGAAGAATACACAACCATTGATCAAAACCTTTATATTATTGAAAAGTATTCACTACTTATTTATGTTCTTATAGACTTTATCTTTCTCACCTGCTGACAAGCCTTTTCTCCGATGGGGTGTTGATGTCTCGCAGTAATCCATGTAGCCTAGCAATACGTGGGCTTCTTCGTACAGGAGTCGCAAAACTAAATGACAGGTCCCCTTGAAAGCTGAAAAATACAGAACAAATATGTCTCCAGATATTTTAATTAAGCACATGACAAATATTTCTTTCCATGTAAGCTGTTTTAAATTACCTCTTCTGTACTAAGGTTCCAATACATCGTTGGAAAACTGAGAGTGTCAGCTTTAAGAATCTAATATATAATTTTGCATTCACTTAAAATTCAAATGGAGGTCAGATTCAGATGAAAGTGGACACTCTCAGCTTTCAAATGGTGTATTGGAACCTTGGTGCAGAGGTGGTCATTTATATGACCCTTGTTTGCACTACTTTTCATTGGGTGAGTTGATGAATATAATTTTCAATAGCAGTCACAATACAGCTTTACATACAGGCATGTTGAGTTCAAATATATCATATTTGCTTGGAATCAAGGTGAAACATGAGAACCTATACAGTTTAGTGCTAGATATGGGGTAGCTTATTAATTTCAGTATATACTGGTACATGAAAAAATATGATACATTATCATGACCTAAGTCTATAAATATCATAACACATATCGATAGGGATAGTCACATTATCCTGCTCTTACATAGAATAATCTCTTTATATAATTTACCTATTTTCATTTGCTACTTCACAAGGAGAAACATTTTTTCTGTTGGATTCTAATTGCTTAGCCAAACCAGGACTCCTTAAAGCAGAACCAGCACCCAAACTCCTGGGACTTCTCCTCCTAGTGATATTCTTTCTTGGGCTGTTACGATGTCTGTGATAGGCCACTCTCATATGTGCCAATGATTTTGATTGGTCTGTTGATCCACCTGTTTCTGCTGTCTCATTTGTTGATACAAACATGTTTGTTAGTTTGCTTAGAACAGATCCATTTCTGGTGGGGACAGATTCTGAAATGTATTCATTGACTTCAACAACGTTAAGCGAAAAACTATAAATTGGTAGCAAGAATCATATGTGGTACATGCCTTCTAGAGTTTATCTATATATACAGGTACTCTCTCAAAAGATTTGATTTTTAGAAATTTCATAATAAGATCTATTATCAACAAGTCGACTCTACAGAAAAAGTCCATGTATAATATCTGTTCTTAGAAATCTCCCTACAAACCTGAATTATGCTTAGCTCTCTTTGCAACTACTGGACTGCTATACTCTTGATCTGTCTTATGACGTCTCTTCATTGATTGTCTCTCTTTCAGCTGTTTTTCCTCCTGTATGACTGCCTGCAGACTATGGATCTCCCACTTCTCTATGTGAGTTTCCCAGATAGCAGGTAGCAGAGTGTCATATTGCACACTGCAAAAGTTCACAAATTGCTTCACAATATCTCATGTAAGGTTTTCAAAACATTAAGTTGCAACTACATAAACAGAACAATTAAATGTAAGAAGTAAAATACTAGTGTATCAAAAAGTATTGAGGTTGTCAAAAATCAGCTGTGTCTACACTGTCTATAAATAAGTTTTGGTTGATTTCCTTGTTTGTATGTGCACTCAATTTTCCATTATTGTTAACATGATGTGTGCATGGTCCGTATGCTCAGTTAACTTACATTTCATTGGAAAGATGTAGCATCTGTGGTAATAGTTTGATTAAGCTGTCTGTTGCTAGAAGTCTGGATTCCGCCACTTTCATTATTGCCAGACCAACCTGGAAAATTGTTGTCACCCCTGAAACAAAAGGCACAGCTTTACTTTTTTTCTTTACAAGACACAGTGTTATAGGGATTTAAAGTGTCCATATCGCAGGGTTACAGAATCATACACAAAGTTCCTTCCTTGTTCCAACTTTGTATGTGATTCTGTAACCCATTTACAACTACCACTTCCAATTTCTCTTATATACATAATGTCAATGAAGATTATTATCTCAGCTCTATAGAGATTAAGCTAACATTCATTTTCAACATTATTTTAAATTCAGACATAACATACCATCCACTAGAATGAGGTCCCATATTGCAAGCACTGTATCCCAGCATGTCAGGTTTGTAAACAAACACATGAACCAAGGAGTTACAAACATCAGGGGTTGTAAACCGTGATTTTCCTGTAAATATGAATATCTAATAACAGCTTCTTGCATGGAAATGCATTCACACGTGACACTTCTCTTCAGCTCTCTGTCACAATTGTCTTTATTATCAATTGTTTGAATGATTTTCGGCCCATAAAGATGAGTTCACTGTTTGATAATCCATGTGCTTTAATCCCACTTAAACCTCTCACACAGTACATCATCTGAGAAGCTTGGGACAGCTTGAGATAAGAGTCAAAGCCCTATAAACTATATACAATGCACCAGATTTTTTACTTACAATATGTTCACTAAGTTGTGGAAATCTTTGCTTCATAAGTTTCTCAAATACTGCAGCATGTCTTTGAATTCTACAAATTCAAGAATTTAAAATATTATTATTTTCTTGGAGTGAAAACCTGAATGCTGGAATGAGATTTGTATACACATTTTAAACTCATCACAAAAAACATTGAGTTTGAATATTACCCTTTAGAATGTAAATGGGATACCAAGACTTAATTGGGGTCAATTAAGTTGCAGCCCATGCGTAACAACCAGCGATCAATTTACCAATGATATATCAACTTTTGGCCATGCGTTGTAAACACATTATCTACATCAAGGTAACTACAGAAGATAACTATAAACATAGGAACTATACATGTTTACAGTATACTACTTAAGTTCATAATATTACAATTTCACAGAAATGTCTAGAAATGACATTTAAACATTGTAGACCTGGTATAATCTCTAGATGCATACACTACCTTGACAACTTGTCATCAAAGTATCCTTGAAGATATTTCTGTCTCTCTATTAAGGCAGCAAAGCACCAGAATGCATCTTTCTCTTCCATGTGCATCAGTAGCATTCCAGCTATGTAGGACATACCTGTAAAACATGACATACTTGTAACACATGACATACCTGTAACATATGACATACCTGCAACACATGACATACCTGTAACATATGACATACCTGTAACACATGATATATCTGTAACAGTAACACATGACATACGTGTAACATACCTGATCTGTAAAAAAACATATCCGTAAAACATGACATACATGTACATGTAACATATGACACCTGTAATGCATTATATACAGTACCTGTAACACGTGACATACCTGTAACACATGGCATACCTGTAACACATGTCACCTGGAATCATGACATACTTTTTACACATGACATACCTGTAACATGTGACATGTAACTTTATAGCTACTTATGATCTGTAATACACTAGCTATACAAATGATTTCAAATTTTATTACACTTACCTTGACAGTAACCTATGGTTGGGTTGTATCTGGCATATAATGAGAGGACCCTAAATAGTGAGGCCTTTCCCTCCCTCGCAGGTCCTCCATTACCCATGTATAGATTGTGAGTAGGGTACGTTCTATCTGGAAATATAAATACAAAAATGTGGAACATAAGGACTCAATTATGTTTGTGTTTATAAAGCTCAATATCATTCTTTCAGAGGTGGACCATAAGATTTGTACGAGAGGTTAAACATATTTAAATAATTGATTTTTTTTTCAGAATAATAAATACTGTAGATGTCTTTAATTTTGCGATGTGTATCTATTTCTAGTCAACATATTTTTCCTGTTTAAGTCAAACTATCAATAATTTTTGGTTTGTTTCCAGCCTCATTTATGAAAAAAATGTACCTAGATCTAAGAGTATCTGTCGTATGTGGTTCACATCAACATGACCTGAATGTTTCAGTTCATTGTTAGTTTTTAGTGCCTCACTGAGAGCTTGGAGAGCATTCCCTTCTGCTCCATACTCACTGATACCAAGATCAACCATCTGTTCCCTTATTGCAACCAGGTTGGCCTAAAGAAGCACAGAAGTGAAGTATTATGATATTTTAGATGGACAGAGAGGGAGGGCTTTGTAACTTTTGTGACATCAGTATGCAAGCTGATGTGATATACTACTTAATACATGAAGTACATAACCAGAAGAGTTTGTACCTTTACAAATTCTTTGTTTGTTCCTTTACTATTACATGTCACTGGTGGATACAGGGGGGGGAGAATTTCCCAAAAATTTTGAAGGGCCTAAAAAATGGCCTTTTCTGGGCATAACTTGGCCTTTTTAAGTCAAATTTTCAAAATTTGGGCCACAAAAAATTTCTTGCAAGCTTCTGGATCCACCAGTTTATCTTTTAAGTATTTTTGCAGTTAACATAAATTTACCAGTGCTTATATTTGGAAAATTATGTAGTTTTTTCAAGCAAAACAATATACATATGAAAGTATATGAAATGGGAATAAAACAAACAAGAATGGTTACCTTATAACTAAAATGTGATGACTTTTCAAGACTTTCACTCCCAAGTAGATTTTTCCATAATGTACAGCGGAAATGTTTTGGGACACCATTTCTCATAAGTCGCTGGAGCTAGAAGTAAGCAAAGTTATGCACCATATAAGTTGATAACTTATATTTTTAAAAATAATAGAGGCCTCATTTTTTCTAAATGAGGCCCATTATTCAAAGATGTGGTTTATTTTATTGCTGTAACTACTATGAAGCAGCATTAGAAGAAACATAAATTGTTCACACAAAGAATTTCTTAACTCAGAATACCTTGGTATGAAATCTCTGGTCCAATGTGTCCCAATTTGTCAATAGCCTCTTCCAAGCCCCAACTTCCTTTGCACTGTGCTCATGGTTGATGGAAATACTGTAAACACACAAGAGTAGAATATTAAATTAATCAAAAAGTTGTTCATTCGAGCTCGTACATCTGAGCTTGACCATGATGTAGCCATCTAAACATTCATGGGTTAAGAGAGTTAACAGAGGGAAAGAGCTCCATTTTGCAGTCATAAACACACAAGTAATCAACTGCACTTGATACAAATTGGGGATTAAACATACGCCTTCTTTGTTCTTTCCATTAACCTCTTGAATCCCAGGTTCTAAAATAGGTTGAAACCAGACAAGTTTTCATATTTGCCAGCTTTTGACATTTTACTACATGTATACATATATAATAGACGATGTTCAATTTAGTAAAATTAAACGGCAGAGATCATTCCTAGACATTTTAAAACAATTTTTGTGTAAATTGGATAAAAATTGTTCAAATAAGAGCAATTTTAGTGAAATATTTTGTAACGGATTATCTCGTCACTCTGGGTTCCAAGGTCATTTCTGAGGTGATGAGAAATCTCGTCACTCTGGGTAGTCAAGAGGTTAAGAAGATGTACCATAGCAGTCTTGAAGAAATACAATTTCTTCAAGTCAGCAAAACCTGTATATCTGTACATTAAAATTAATTTTATTCAGTATTTCTTATACTAATTGAGGGAGACCCTATCTGTTGCAAGACTTATGCCTGTTTTCATAAAAAACTCACACTATCAGAGTTTTGATCGACTCAAGCAGCCAGAAAAAATAGTTTATATTTCACCCGCTAGGGGTTTCCATGTCGACTTGGAAAGAATTTGAATAGAATTATAGATTCTAAATGATTTGTCAGTTCTACTGGTTGATGAATATTGCCATGTGCATACATTTAAATGAAATAGGAATAAGATGTTAGACTAGACCAAACTTCACCCTAATGATAGCTCAGAAAAGGTAAAATTTATCCATTTTACACAGTCCTTGTTGCATGGTGAGGGTTGTGTCAAACATACGTCTTGCAACAGATAGGCCTTACTTACCATATTCTAGGGCCACTTGGCTAGAGACTCGAGTAAAGCCTATAGCATGTGAATGGGCCATTCCATTTAAAAAATGTACGGGGGGTATGGATGCACAGGCTGAGACACCCCCCCCAGAATTTTTTTTCTTGCTACCCCCCCCCCCCCAGAAAATTGCATCCATACCACCCCCCCCCCCCGGAAATTTGCATCCATACCCCCCCCCCCCCAGAAATTTGCATCCATACCCCTCTCCCCTGGAAAATTGCATCCATACCCCCCGAAACACGCAAAATCCCCCCTTGAGAAACAATATAAAGGTTATAAGTTGCTCCTACCATTGAAAAAGGCAATCAGTTTGCAGAATTTACAAATTAGTGTTAAAGGCACATGTTCATGGAAATACCCACGTTATCGGTGTGTATACTGTATACAATAGAACCACGTGTTATATTTCACAAGTCCAAAAATATCTGCACCAGCTATGCACATATTTCTTACCTCATTATTGATTAGTATCCAACAGACTGAGTGTGAACTCAGTTTGTTATCCTTATTTTCTGTCATGTGGTTATTGTGGTGAATTGTATTGCACAAAATTATCAATTCATTAGAGGAAGCATTACTTCAATAAAATGAAAATTATGAAAATTCAATTAGGTAGTAAGGTACAATTAAATGACATAAAAAGTAACACAGCATATTGTCTAGTCTAAGAGATAAAGCTACATGTAGTGGAACTTAAAAATAATTTAAATATGCAAATTAATTTACTACATCAGTCACTTTGAATTATAATTTACATTAAAAAGATATGTTGAAAGCCCATGGTTTGAACAACAACATTTAACATAGGACGTTTACAGTCTGAGTATTTCCAACTAAATTTCAAAAAATACCGTCTAGAGGATGTAGTCTATTCAATTGATTCTATACACTAGCTTGATTCTCTCAAAGCTACAGCTGTCTTTTGAAATACTGGTCGATTTAAAAAGTCTGCGATTTGAAACAGCCGCAGCTTTTGGGCTTTGAGAGAACTTAGGCTGGTCTTTAGATTAAATTGAAGTAAGAAATATGTACATAGCTAGCACCGACTTTTATGTCTTTTGATAAATAACATAATGTTCTTTGGATTCGGTCTGCATAACCTGAGATTTTCTTGGCACAAGATAATTACCAGGCTTACTCAGTTACTTAAAGAAGGCAATGCAAAGATAATTTCCTGAAAAAAAACAAAGAAATAAAACACATGCCTTCATACTATATTTTGAACCAGAAATTTTCAAAATATTTCCATATACACGTGCCTTTAACAGAATGTCAGTAAGTCATACGCTCGGAATGAATTATTGCTTATATTACTGTAACAGGATATTTCTAGGTCAACTTTTTTTGCCTTAGCTATGGTGGTTTTGATGACATCTAGTCTCAACAGTATATTTTCACGTACTAGTTAGCACAAAAAGTGTATGTATATAGTATCAAAGATACAATCTGATTGAATTAGTCTGAAAATATTGCTGGTAGTTTGAAGTAACCTTCCTCAATAATGTAGACAAAATGAGTGAAGTAATTTTGACTACCAGAAATTAGTGTACCTATTAACGGTTCACAATTCTTTAGAATGTATAATAACTAGAATATTCAGTGGTTTACTTTTCAAACTATTGTCCTATATTTTCAAAAATACATGAAAAGTTCAATATGTGAAGCAAGTGACCACATAGTTTATGACTGAAATTAGATGCCCAAAATGTGGAACAGACATGACAGAAAAGAATACTATGAACTTATAACAAAAGTGTTCTAGATACTCTCATCTACTTGAATAAAGTTATATTTGAAGGCTACGTCATGTTGCATAATTTGACCAAATTGTCTAAAAGTCTAAAGAACAAGGAAGTAATTGCCAGATTGGAACCTATATATTGGTTCCAACATTGCAGTTTACATGTAGGTCACTGTCACATACACTGTTTTTTGTTTGGATCTAGTGTACTATATACTGCTTGTAGCTCTCAATTCAGAGTAAGGTCATGTGCCTACTAGTGTAATGTATCCTGATCTCTAGACAAGTTCACTAATTTGTTATATTGAGGTTGTAATAGTTTTATCCTGATATATTCAGATGACCTGTGTACTTTCTCAACAGACTAAATGATTATGAAAAGCAAAAATAAAAACTGAATATTTCATAATTAGTTAGATGAACTCGCTACCATTGTTCACTTCACACAATCAAAATTAAAATGTAATGTTTCCATTGGTAACTACAATATTTTTTTCATTAATTATTATTTCTTCAACATAAATTACACTATTCCGGGCTCAACGATGACGTCAGAAGGAATGACCATATATAGAACGTCGGTCAAATTTGGCCAACGAACACTGATTGGCGCGGTGAGTTCACAGGTTTATTTTAGTTTGAAAGAGTGAAGACAAAGCTCTCTTTTAAGAAGTGAAGTCAAACAAATGCAAAGGGTAACGATTCTGTTGTCCTCTGAGCTATTTTTTCGCAAACATGTACATTTTCAAAAACATATGATACTGATACACGTTTGTGAGAAAGAATGTCGTGGGGAATCTGCCTACAACGCGTGAAATAAGGAAAAAGAAAAATCGTACCTTCGACGTTCCGACAAACCTTTTCGCTAACCAGTGTAATCAAGTGGATCCCCAGTATATAGGATGATATAAATTAGAAAATGTACTGATCTCACTTGAGAATGAAGATATTCTAATTCTCATTGTCTGAATTTAAAAATGTTTAAATAATATGCAGTAACTGTTTCAGAGAAAAATGTCATATTTGTTAATTTTAATGATTCTTCATGTTTTTGTGGAAATCATGTTTTACTGTTCCAGAAATGAAGAGGAGTTCTATGAAAGCCATGACACTGTAGAGAAAGTTATACCCTTAACAAGAGCATACCAAAGTTTTCCTTATCTTAGCATTAAGCATTATATAGGATCACAAATACATTGCAAATATGAAAGTCAGAAAAACCTGTATGTATACAGCTAGCTGTAGCATACTTTGTTCTGTTGGCTGCGTGGGATTAAATTTCGAAATAATAAACATGACCGAGATTTGGTGTCAGGCAAGTCCATACACAAAATACTCAAGAAATACATGTACATTAACTGACTTATTACCGCCTTTTAAAAGACTGAAAGACACTCCACCCTTATATCCCTATAGAATACTCCCCCACAGACTACCACCACCACCCCCTATTATTAACCCCCCCCCCTTCATAATGCCTTTGCAAATACCCCCCCCCCCAGAATATTCCATGGTCAATACCCCCCCCCCCTCCAGAATTTTTTCGGTCTCCTACCCCCCAGAATTTTTCGGTCAACACCCCCCCCAGAATTTTTTGGTCTCCTACCCCCCCCAGAATTTTTCGGTCAACACCCCCCCCCCAGAATTTTTTGGTCTCCTACCCCCCCCCCCCCCCCAGAATTTTTCGGTCAACACCCCCCCCCCCCCCAGAATTTTGCATCCATACCCCACGTACATTTTTTAAATGGAATGGCCCAATTGAATTAATTTCTTGGTGGTCTTGCCACGCCCTCTTGACCTGATCAGATGGATCATTACTCGGCTATTGAAGTGGTAAATAATTATGATATAGACCTAAAGAACATATTAGAATTGAAAATACATAACAGATGTTTATCAAATAGGTAAATTCACCTGTAACTGTAATCGTGACACCTTGGGTTTTCTGGTTCAAAATCTTTTTCAAAAATTGCAAAGCCAAATTCGTCAAAGCATTGTACCCTTCCCTCAGCATCGACGTTTACTTTGTCTTCTTTCGGCATTGCTTCATATGTAGAATATTGTATGGGTGTACTAATAATGGCTATATCCTGTACTATTGAGATATAAAACTCAAATTTATAAATCAAAATAAAAAAATATTTTCAAAACATTCCGCCATTTCCTGTTTGCCTCGTTTTCAAAATTATCACTGAACGAAAACCATAAAATCCCCGGGACAACGTAAATTCTCCACTTCAATATTTCTCATTATGGTTAACTTATAGCTGAGACTAACATAATTTTAGAGTATATTAGTCTCAGCTTATAGTCAGGATTTTGAAGTTGATAATAAGGTTAATTACATATTCGAATTACTTTGCTTAATGCAACATCTCAAATAAACACTTAAAACGGGATCGGGGGTAAGATTCCATGTAAAGAGTAGAGGGTCTAAATATAAGTTTAAAGGAGACATTATACATGTACACTGTATTAATGTTGGTTCTCAATGCGCAAAATTATTGAAGACACGAGTTCAGTTTATCAATATCTAAGATAAGTCAATGTTCAATGATGCAAGTAATTCAGATTGTAGCACTTGTATTATCATCGATGAGCTATTATTTAAGTTGTTGTTTTGATCAAAATGTCTTTTATAAGATATAATTTTCTTATCCCATAGTTGAGGTCAAATCTGTAGAATAACACGTATATATATTTATGATATTTTGCAAATGCATGGAAAAAGTGATATCTGGGGAATACGGTGAATATTCCACAAATATCACTTTTTTCCACGGATTTGAAAACTCCCGCAAATGTGACGTGCATAGTTACATGAGCTTACATGGTGATTTCTTGATGTCACAAATATGGAAATGATTTATGTTTTGGCTATACAGTTCAAATGACAAAATAAAACTGAATGTTGTTTTGAAATTCTTTGTTAGGTCATGAACGTATACCAACTACGTCCATGGTTAGGTGAACTATGGGATAAATAGAACATCCTATGATTTTTTCGTGATATCATTTCAATCCACTCGTTGATATTAATATCTGCACTCATTCGCTACGCTCACTGGTCGAGATATTGATATCAACTCGTGGATAAAAATGATATCTCTCAAAACCATAGGATATCCTATACATATCTGATTCTATTCAGCCAACATTACAAAAATGCACATTTGATAGAAAAAAATGAGTTTATTACAATTACAAGAGCCATACATTGCAATCTATTACAGTGTATTCCAAGAAGATCTACTGGAACATGCAAAAATAGCTGAACTGTCATATATTTTTTTGTAACTTTTAATAAGTTTAGAAATGATAATGGCAAAAATGGATTGCAGTGAATAAAATTGCACCAAATTAAATTCCAGGAAATATATTATACATATTAGCCTGGACAGAATTGTTCAATGGTCACTTTTTCTTTATAACTTAATACTCCTGTTTTCAAATATGTAATCAGGTTTTGATAATACTGAAAAGTAAAAAAGTTATTTAAGAAAAAGTTACCCTCGAACAATTCTGTCCAGGCTATTATGATAATGGTAAATAATGCCATGCTCTGAATTTTTCAACTGATCTAATTTTGGCAAAATTCATGCTGTTTAGACTATAGACAACAAGACAAAACAAAATGTCACCACCTAGTTGCTCACAATATTGTGCATCTTTTTTTGACCTTGAGAAGGTCATTTAAGGTCAACATCTCAAACCTATAGTCCGATTTGAACTTTTGAGAACTTGTAGATGATTTTGAAAAAACGAGGTCAATTGAAACAAGTTGAAAATGGACCTTTTGACCTTTTTTGACCTTAAAAAGGTCATTAATGGTTAAATCTCACATCTAAAGTCAGATTTGAACTTCTGCAAACTTGTGGATGATTTTGAAAAAAATTTGGTAAAGGAGAACCCCCGATAAGGAGAGCTTTTTAGAAGGACATAGCTTTTTTATTCTGGATGTGATCATCAGAGATGATCTTAGATATTAGGTGATATAAGATATTCCCAAAAACAACTTGTGTAATATAAAAATTGCTTTTTTAAGAACATTTTTTGCAAGGCAATGAACTCGTTTTTTAAGGTTGGACTCTTTATTTGTGGTTAAAATCTGTGTATGGCCTGATGGGATAGGAACAAAGTGTAACAGTTGTAAGATACCTATTTATCTGAACTCTTAGAAAATAAAAAGAAATCAATGGGCGTTTTCCTAGAAATATGTTTTTGAGACCTTTTCCATTCATGAGAATCAGACGGAATAATGGAACCAATTCGTAAAACATTCTTAAAATATATTTCTGGTGGAGCGCCCATCGATTTCTTTATGAAAACTAAGACTTTGCTTCATTATGTTACTTAGCTACATTCTATTTTGCTCGAACAGTAATGGGAAAGTTATTGATTTTAAGCAAAATGTAACAGTTAAATATGGAAAATTGAATGTTATCGCTTCACAAAAACCGTTCTTCAAACACACATTTTAATAATTCGAAGAAAATATTTCAGGATGTATAAATTCACCTCATTTCTAAAAGAATGTTAAAATTTCATGATGATCACTTCCAGAATAAAATAGTTGTGTCCTTCTAAAAAGCTCTCCTTATCGGGGGTTCTCCTTTGAAACAAATTGAAAAAGACATTTTTGACCTTTTTTAACCTATTTTTTAGCCTTGAGAAGATCATTGAAGGTCAAATCTTAAGTCAGATGTGAACTTCAGTAAACCTGTATATGATTTTGAAGAAAAATTGAAGTCAGTCTAAACAGTATTTGTTTAGTTATTGGAAGTTGTAAGAATTTGTTACAGACGCCGATCGTCAAATGCCATCCGCCATTACAAAAAATGGAGACCATAATAATACCTCTCCACTTTTTGGTGGTGACAAATAAAATGAAAATTTGGATGTAATAAAGTGGAATAGCATTCAAACGGACACTTTGTACCTTTCTATAGTCTAATTTTATGCAATTACATGTCTTAGTCATGGTACCTTTTACAAAGTAGGTTAAAATTGGTAAATCAAGCATTTTGACAAAAAGTTTCAGAACTACCAGATTTTTGAGATAGAACCGAGCACAGAAATCCTCCCTTACTAAGCTTTTTTGTCAAAATACTTTGTAACTAAATGTCTGGTGTATCCAGTGTTGAGTATAATGATCTACTCGCTGAATATACCTTACAGGCATCAACTGTACATCAACTGTCTCCGGGGAGATTTATATACAGCAGGTGATTTGCATACAGCAACTTTAGAATCAAATGACCTGATTTTTCGCTTTGAATAATCTCCAACCTCGTATGCAGATAGGTCACTAACTCATAGCATATTTAACCCTTTAAAGGAAATTGGATCCCAGCAATCAAACTAAACTGAAGTTCAGTCCTATTTGGCTATAGACACATAGTCCAGTATCGGACTTACTTTCCAAGCATTCTATATTCCTATAGAAATATTTTCCATGTTGCACTATTGTGAGTCTCATTCGTTATTCAGAGTCCCCATTGTGAGTCTCATGGGCGTAAAGTCCATTACAAGATTCATGTGGAGCATTCACATCATCGTAGGGATTATTCTTAACATTTATTAAACCCTCTGATATATCCGCTGGTGCATTTTCTGATTGTTCCACCACTGGTTGTGCCATTGAGGTATCATATGATTGTTCCATTGGAACATCCACTGCTTGTTCAAGAGGTGTAGGGATGCTATCTTCAGGAGATGGAGTGGTTGAGATTTCTTTTTTGATTTGTTTGGCAATGAATCGTGCGCTCTTACGTCTTGGGGGTGAATCACCAGCTAGGGAGGCTGGAAATCAGAACCATTTATATAAGTTACCTAAATTTGAACTGCATATTACATGTGTTTCATGTGATTCTCTTTTGTGCTAAGAAAGTATGATAGTTGACACTTGACAGTTATCCCTATTGTAAATGTTGATGTCATTTCAGCATTGATCCCCAAGATACATTCATAAAACTCACGAAATTAACTGGGCGTACAGTATACCTTCTCTGAATATTGAGATTATATGCTATGACTAAAAAACAGTACAAGTCCAACACTGTCATTTATATATCATTACAGCATGCAAAGTGCTTGATTATGTGGCAAATATCGCCTCAATATCGCCTCGCCTCAACCCAGTATAGTAACAATGTAACTGGAAACAGAACATGATACCATCATCCAAGCAATACATGGATAAGTTGTGTGTTACAGTATCACTGACAATAATGTTTCCCAATTTTCTTACCTTTCAGTTTTTCTTTTCTTGACTGTTTATTGGCAGCTGGCACATTTTTTGGCACAATATTATGTTCCTCGCGATATTGCTTGATGGCTTCCCCATATTCTTTCCATTCTTCATGGTCTTTGTAACGAGTTGCAAGGCCTTGTAAACTCACCAATTTGAATTTTGCCTTTTCTAAACGGGATTTCAGGTTGAATTTTTTCTTTCTACTTGAGGCGAGGCAGGCATATCTAGAATTAGATTAAAACAGTAAAATATAGGCTTGCTACTCCACAACATATAATTACAACAGGGAAGAGCTACCTTATGACATTTGTCAGGTGGAAAGGGCTCAATATCATATTCATGAGGAACAAGTGCAACAATTTGCTAAAGAGGTCAAACATATAGTTTTGAAGAACTTTTTGGTGGCAACAAAGATTACTCCTAAGATCATATTGAAGCATGCATCATAACTATAAATAAAAAAACAACAACTATAAATGAGAAAATCTTCATTTAATATTATAGACCTTTAATAAGAGCATAGAAAATGAACACTTACTTTCTTTTCTTATACTTGGTAGAATTTGGAGCAGCTAGTTCCTTATACACGCGTGTGGCCTGCTTCAAGGGAGGTTGGGGGAATATTCCTAATTTCTCAGGTTCAATCTTTATAGGGAAATTTGGTATTTCCTCCTCCTTTGGCCCAATTGTTGACAATAATGCTGGCCATAGAAACAGAGAGGAGAATCTAGCTTTTAGGGCTTGATAGTCTGAGGTCTTTTTCACACGTTTCAAAATGCCATTGTTTCTTGGTTTTCGGGCTTGATTCTGGACTTGTGCATTCTCCCCTGGTTCTATTTTAACAAATATGTCTTCACTTTGGGCATGTTCATTCACTTGTGAACTGCTACCAGGCTGGTCAGTGTCACTGGGTGGACTCAAATCTTCATCTTCCGTGTTCTCATTACTGTCCTTTGAGGCATCATCTGCTGTTTTCTTGCCCAATTTCGGAGGTTCATATAATGAACCTGCTCTCTTGACTAACTTCTTCCTATTCAGGAGTAGCATCTTAAATGCATTGATGGTAGTAATGTTTGGAGGCAAAGGGGGGAGTTTGGTAATAGGTGGTGACATCAAATTCAGCTCCTTAGTATCATCAGTCTCATCTATCTCAACATACTCTTCAGCTCGCATTGCTTTCTTTCTCTTAGGACCATCATCTGCGCTCTTAGCTATAACTTGATTTTTATACTCATCTAATAATTCATCTTTAATTTCCTTGACTCCTTGCATCGCTGCAACTTGTGTCACAGTGTCAAAATCTTCCTCCAAGCTCGATAGTGCCCACATCTGCTCTCGGACTTTCTTCTCCATGGCTGCACGTTTCAACTTATGTTTATTGAGTATATTATTCCTAACGCAAGGCTTCTGTCCTTCTCTCAGGGCTTCTGTTAGCTCTTTATCCGCTTTTAGTTTCTGGAAATGGAAAGACGAAAGGTTAGGAAGTATGCAGACTGAAGGGTTCCATGAAGCCGTAACTGAAGCTTCAAGGGTTAAATCAAACTTTGTTCAATGGATACAGTTCTTTTCTGTCAAATAAACCAGTTAAATGTAATTTTCAATTGAATATTAACCATTGGGGGAACAATATGGATAAGTAGTTAAAAGACGAGAATGTGTTTTTCCTATTTTTCAATTTTGGTACAGATCACCCAGGATAGTACCTTATGCAGTTTGCACCATTCATTCTAATAAATTAAAACCTGTGAAATACCTCTTTTAGTGTTACCCTCAAGTGGAACACTTTTACAATAGAGCTACTTATACAGGTTTAGCTGTATTAAAATTTCATGAACAGCTCGTTACAGTAGCAGATACATACTATTTGTTCTTTTTCTGTCTCTCTCATCATGAGGTTATGGAAGCCCACATCTTTCAGTTCTGGACCAATAGAAAGGCATCTTTTTGTATCTACCCTAAGTGCCTGCAAACACACGTAAGTAATAAATGTTTAAATTGAGGAAGATAGAGAATGACAGCAAAAGACAAAATTTCCTGTTCTCCAGAAATTATCAAGATATTGTAGAAGGGGACCTGGACTGAGGCCAACCTGGCCTATTCATGCCTATAGTATTCCACCACAAATGTCTATGGCCAATGAGACTCGGTCGTCTCGTTTAAGTGTCTTTCTAAGCACTAAAAGCATGTTGATTAGCTTGGGCATTTAAAATCGGTAATTCTTGATATATTACCTTAAACATCAGGTTGGCTACTTTATTCTCTGCAGTAAGTGAGTAGGTCTCCTTGGCACCTGCATTTGTCAATGGGCGGTCATTCACTGGAATCACAAAACATGGATTTAGGCAAAGACTCTATCCATAAGCTGAGCAATATTAAGGCATCAAATTAATTTATATGTTATTATGTGAGTCAATAAGGCATAAGTATCAAAGTAAGTAGTCTCTGATTTTCATTTTTTTAAATTAATTTAATTACTAAACTTTCAGTTTTTTATATTAAGCACTTAGGGTGGGATAATAAGATCATATAATGGTTGATTCTGTATATCATGTTTATACTCTCGTGAGTATATGATATATTCCCTCATTCTCTTGGTCACTTGTGAATTTATCATATACTCACTTGAGTATAAACACGATATACAGAATCAACCATTATATAACCTCATAAAACACTTAATATTGTGATGTTATTCTTAGGTGTCTGGGTATACCACTACCTTAAAGCTCTTTTTCCGAGACCAAAATGTTTCTTAATTTTTAGAAAAATGAATAATATCAAGACATACAGAAATGTTTCCTCGGGCGGCCTGCCTTTAGTTGCTTTGTAACTCTGTTGCGTAACATCTTCATTAGGTTATGTTCCACTTGTCTAACATTAATGGCATTAGCTAGTACAGGACGTCCTCTCTACAAAAAAAGATTGAATATAATATTCATTAACTAACTCAAATTCATTTAAAATTGGATGACTGATACGTCAAATATAAATTATATCAGTCCCTGCCTGGAGTAAATGAACTTGAGGTAATTATTGCATTACAACACAAGATCTTCAAAAATAAGATCAGTGATCTCCCCAGGATTTTTTCCCAGGTGAGTGCAAAATTCTCATTTCACAATTCAGACCACAATTGGTTAAAATATGCCATTTTCTCACATGATTTTTCTCATTTTCAAGTGGGTGCAAATGGATTTTCAGGTGTGGACCGTTCAACAGGATTTTAATTACCGTTGTACACTATGTGTAGTAGTTCTCTTAGGGTATGTAGTGTAGGCTAATATTGTTTAATGTCCAGTTTGTTTGCTCGAGCCCAACAATTGAATAGAGAGAAGCAAGGGTATATACTTGTAAAATACCCTTCCAGCAAGGATGGGGGAGATCACTGAAGACATAATGACTGGTAGACTTGTGATGAATTCTAAGAATGAATCAGGTTATTTCATTACTGTGCTCAGTTTAAAATGTTAATAAATGAAATGACTTGACATTACTTCTGTATATACAACTGAGACTGTAATTCAAGCTTATAACATTTATTCATTGCTGCTTCTGCTCTGGTTTTATCTTCATTTGGATGTAAACAACAGCCATGACAGTGCTCATCTTGAATATAATACTCAACAAAATAAACATTCAACCATGAACTGTAACAGAAATGCATAATATTTAAAAACATAAAATTAAACTTTTTAAACATCAAATATTAAATCAGAAAATTTCCATTAAAAACAAGTTCACCTCCTTTTCGCCTGTAAGTGAAGAAGAAACACTTGGAAATTTTGAACACTTGAAACGCCTGTATATCTTGAATTGAAATAATGAGAAAAAATTTACCATCATGTTTATTTCAAGATGAAACTTAAATGTCACCAAATTAACTTGTACTTAACTATTTGTCAGACTTATTTTTGTAAAGTATTTAGGTGCTGTGATAAACAGATGGAAATATTAATCCATAACACAAATATGAGATTATAAAATGATATTCTCTTTTGATATTAATAACTCTAAGCAGTCTGCCCAATTTTGACTACTGGACTAACATTATGCAATAAACTGCATTTTGGATTTTATATTTGTACACAAATCAGCCTGAGGCAGAAGTGAAAGGGTTAATTTAAACAAAATATACCAGAAGTGAATTTTAACAGATTCCTTTTGGATGAAAGTAACTACTATATAATAGAATGCTGCTTACCACTTTTGGAGGTTTACTTTGTCCCAGGACTTCTTTCCTCACCTCCCGAGCTAGCTTCAACATATCTCGTACTGACATGTTGTGGTCCACATTCAGTAGTTGGGCACTCAGTTCAACACCCTAGAGCAAAGAATTAATAAGATTAACATACTACGCAGAATTTTTTCAAATGGGTGCAAAATATTTTCAGAGCCTTGCCCAAATCTGGTCAAAATATGCAAATTTTTATAATATTTTCATGTGGGTACAGTTGAATTTTATATGAGTGCAAGCCTTCAAAATCTTAATTGAACCACTTGTTTCAATGCTGGGGAGATCACTGTAATAGGATGTAGATATTAAGGCTAAGATGCATTATAGGCAGCAATCTCTTTGGCTTCTATTGCAAAAGAAAACATGCCAAATCATGTCAATAACTCAATGTACTATTTGAACCAGTAAACGAGGCATGCATGTTTGCAAAATAATACAAGTCTTTCAATACAGTAAAACCTGTTTTTTTTGTTGTTTTTTTAACATATTATTTATTTCCTTCTTAATCAAAAAATACACAAAATATCTACTACCAATCGCCATAGGCATTCTAGGTAGTTTAAATTACAATAGAGGATTAATTACAGTAATCATAGATGGTTTATTGGTAATGTGAGAGGTTGGGAGGGAGGGGGGGGGGTTGTCACAAGATACAAATGAGAAAAACATTAATTTGATGGAAACTTATAACAGGCCTGTACAAATTGCATCACTATATCTATCAGGATTTTCTGAGAATCAATAGTGAGTTCATTTTCATAAATTAAGTACTTGACCTGTTCTGTCTTACTAGAAATAAGTTGAGTATCAAACAATAAATTTTGTTCACGAAGTGCAGTCATCATTTTATTACGTTCATGGGTATGGCGAGGGCAGGTTAGAATGAAATGCTTTGTGTCTTCAGTAGAGCCACAGAGGCATTTGTTGTCAATTATTCCAGTTAAATTATGAGTAAAGAAATGGTCTTTAAGGGCAAAATCAACTCAAAGCCTATTTAGCAGTTTTTCGTTGGTTCTACTTAAATTTAGTTTTGTAGTTGGTATGAAGTTTGAAATAGGGATAAATATCTGTTTAATAGAGCTTTTGAATCTAGAAATGGTTTGAATTTCACGAAAAGTCTGGCTTAGCTGGTTCCAATCATTTATAAGTTTTAAGACTGGTGCTTTGGAGAGTCTCATTGAAATATTTCTTGGGCAGGAAAAGGGTAAAGAGTGTCTTAAAATTCTAGTTTCTTGGTTGCGATGTTGGTCAAAAAGACTATGGACATATTAAGGCACTTCCTTTCTTACAATTTTGAACATCAGTCTTAGATTTTTTTCGTGTCTTTTGTCAGTAAGCGATTTCCACTGTAAACATTTTAAAGTTTTTGAGGTGTTAGAGCCATGCAGTACCCCAGCACATATAACAGCAGCTTGGTAGTGGATTTTATCAAGCTTTGACAAGGCCGCCAAGGATGACGATCCGTAAATGGAGCTACAATAGTCAAGATAAGTATTTTGTTTGATATGAGCTTCAAAGGATTTAACAGTTTTTGAACTTTATTAGACAGATAGTTTATATGGTCATTAAAAGTCAAATTCTCATCTAAGATGAAACCCAGGTGCCTGTGTGATTGCTTTTGGGGGATCATTTCACCATCAAAGTAAAGTGGAGACATTTGAATATTTTTTTGTCGGGTTGAGCGAAAAAATAAATGAGCACTTTTAGATGCTTTAAATTTCAATTGCCAGGTTCTAAACCATGCACTTAAAAGATTTAGGTCATTTTGGAGTTGGCCAGTTTGATTACCAGAAGGGTGAAAGAAAGAGTATAAGGAGGTATCATCTGCATAGATAAAAGTTTTCGAGGTCAGAGTGTCAGGGAGGTCATTTATGTATATCAGAAACATCAGGGGTCCGATTATGGAGCCCTGAGGCACACCAGAGTTTATGAAGTGGTCAGGAGAGAAGTTTGATGTGTGATCATCTACAGTGACACAGACTTTTCGATTGATCCTGGTAAAACCTGGTGGAACAATATTAGTGCTGTAAAGAGTGTTCCATCTAGGAAGTGTTTCACTTTCAGAAGTTAATTTTACATTTAGTTATTTGGTAGCAATGAACTCCTATTATAATCTAACACTCACCATCTTATTCTTTTTATTTGATTTCAACCTGAGTGTCTCACCGACTGCTTTGGCCCTGGCCTTGCTCAGTTTGTCCTGACTTTTAAGCTTGCCAACAACTGATTTCTCTATCTGCGACATAACTGTCTTCTGTTTGCCTGCCACATCAGCCAATCTGGTCACTGTGGTGCGGGGAGGACGTGGTACCATGCGACCTGTTACATAATGGAGAATTGATGATAAAATAGAGAAAAATGGCTGTGTCAATAAAGGAAATGTTTATACTAGTACAAAAAGTTAAAAGTCCTAAACTGTCTAAATTATATATTTTTATATATCAATTTCTTGCATTGGCATGTAAGGCCAAAAATTCACCACCTGCCATTTGTTACAGACACTGACTGCCTAACACTGTCCACAAAAAGTCGGAGACTGGTGGTAATATAAAAATATGTTAATAAAGGAGGGTTATTGTTGGTCGAATTCCACCAGAAGGTTCCATTGACTTTTTCACACCTGCCCTAGGAGATTAACGCATATTTGTCAAATTATTGCAATTGAGGCAAGTTTGTCAATTTTATGTTAAGCTTCAAAAATGGCATCCTTATTGCAACCATCTTGATCAATACCTTGTTTTATTAATTCAGCTTGTTGAAGCACAAGGAGCCTTTCTTTATCAAGTTCCGTCCACTTTTTCTGTACAACCTTAGCTTTATTGGCTACAGCTTTATCCAGCCTGGCTTGTGCATCAGATTTTGGTTTCTTGGGGGCTTCCATGAGTTCTTCAAGGAGGTCCTCTTTGTTCTTTTCTGATTTAACCTGCCTCAAAATGGCCAGTTCTTCATCCTGACCCATTTGTGCATCTTGCAAAAAATGGTATTTGGAGAAGTCTTAGTTATAATACATATTTAATTTTTACAGAGGTCAGAATGGTAAGTTCATGATTGTAATTAGTCTCTAAAACAACATTTGAAATTATCTTACCCTACATTCTAAAGTGACCTTTGGCTGATTCCATGGAAACAGTTTGCATGCATACTGACATCACATTTAAGAAACTTCTCGATATGTATAAATAAATGGCAGATTATCATAGAGTTGACTATGGTTGCAACTGGCTGTTACATGCAAGGAATGAAGACTGAGATTCTAAGATTCATGGTCTAAAATATTACCATTGTTTTAAGTAATCATTGTTGAAAAACACAATAGCAAATTGCTATGGCAATGAGCAGAATATATCAAAATGTCATACATCACACCATGAATTAATGAAAATAAGAAAACATGTCTTTAATCATATTTAATATATATTTCTTGTGTGTTCTCTCACCTAAATCATCTTCCTGAGCCCTAGTGCTAGGTATGGCAGTTCTCCTGTTCCACAGTAAATAGTTCACAGTCTCTGGCTGAAATACATGAATACTGAGATATACATCATGGGATTTGGACAACAAGGATGTGGGGGCATCCTAGTGTAAGCACTAGAGGTGTAACTCGCCGGAAAAATCCAACTCGAGTTCAACTTGCCAAATATTTCCAAAACTCGAGTAGAACTCGAGTTAATTCATTTCGTCCAGTACATAAAGTAAACCCGGGTAAACAAAGTTACTTTAACTTCTAGCGGCAAGTTTCTCTGGTTAAGTCACATCTAAAAGCTGTACTTCACACGTTGGGGCCATAAGAAGGTGTGGTATGCATTGCAGTTATCTCATATTTCAATCAAAAATGATCTGGTATAGACGTCGCCGCATACGGTAAGGACTAGAGATCGCTAAAATGAACCAAGAATCTAACCAAACAGTATTTTAGAAAACCCAGAAGGGCCCCTCAAATTAATGAATGATTTTCCCGGATTATCTTCATTATTTCTACTAAAGACTGCTGGATATCGATCTAAAGTTATGACTTGTGGTCTTATGATTTAATGATAGATCATCTTTTTATGTAAAAGTCGTGTAAACGACGTGAGAATAAGGGGACCATTTTTTATTCAATTTCAGTGACAACTCTATTATCGCCCCCTTGAGTTCCTTCGATAATCAATTTTTTTTCTGATTAATTTGGTGTAACTTGTCATTCCTCGATATTTGTTGAACTTTGTGAAACTTTGAGTGTTTTTAGGTGACGGGCGCTAAATATGGCGATCATTGGTATATTTATTCTCCTAATGAAGTAATGTTGCACGATCTCTGGGACCCGAATTCATTTTTCATGTTTGCAAGATAGGCAAAACTCGCGAGTTAACTCGAGTTATAGCTAGCTCGCGAGTTGAAACAGATTGCGAGTTTCTAGAGGACGACTCGAGGCAATGTATAGGCAGCTCTGACGAGCTGTACTCGAGTTACTGACTCGGGAGTTACACCTCTAGTAAGCACCCTTGGTGAACATAGCAATCATCGAATAGGTGGGTGAGATACTATGACTGTTGTGGTGCTGAGAGTTGTTTTTTATTGCAAATTATTCCTATCTTACTTATGATGAACTTTATTTATGTCAATTTGAAATCTATGAGGAGTATTTGGAAGCTCCCATATTATTTATAGACAACATAAAAGTATTTTGATACACATTAAGGCTTTTTCCCTTAAGAAGGACTTTTGTGTCAAGGATAGGTTTTGGCTACATTACAGATTGCTATCTTGAGGACAAGATTTCTTGCAGCATCCCCCTCCGTTCATTCTGTCTAATCACCAGAGTGTGGATGTCCATGAGTAGATATAATTGATACTTTTTCAAAACCCCAGGATTATCTGTATATCCCATGGGAAATTACTACCCAATCAGATAAAAATGTAAAATATTGAAAATAATCAATTTGCAAAATTAATAAATCTTTTTGAAGAAATCGAAACCATTGAAATAATGTCATTTTTGATATGAAACCATCTCATATCACATTTTAAGAAGTGATATTGGATGGTTTGGACATTTTTGCTAAAATATGATATCTTGGTCCACATATCAAATATATCTTGACGTGATATTCAATCTATATCATTGCAACCAGAGGATAAGAGGTGATATGCTTACAGTCTGTTCTAATAGCCACTCATTCTGCTGTTTCCAAAGCATGAGTCTCTTATAACGCAGGAGACAAGCATTGTCAATACGCCTTGTTGGCATGTTCTTTGCAATAGTCGACCAGCTACCTGGATATAAAACAACATGATTTGAACTAAATATGCAGTGATCTCCCCATGTCACTTTTACGGGGGGCCCCCCTACTTGAAACCAAGGGCCCCCAGATGGCACCCTCAACTTCAACGTCTGATTTGAAAAATGAGTGAAGTAAGCACCTACATGAAGAGATTGTGAGCGTAGCGAGCGCTGATTTTTTCAGACTTGAAAACTTCCACCCAGTTGAAATTTTTTTTGGGGAGAACACTTAAATGTATCACTCATTGCATTAATCAAAAACACTTGATATGCTTTTTCAAAGGTATATACTTCAAAGGAAGGGTGGTTAATGACAAGTTTAATAAACACAGCAAAATTGACTTTCAAAAAATGCAATACAGATTTCACAAGTCTAACCTTAATAGTTTATAGTTATAAATATAGTGCCAGTTGTGTCATATTTCACATTCCCAAACATTATAATACCCAAGTAGGCCAACTGTCAAAAATTCATCATTTCAGGAGTTTAAAAAGTTTGCTGTACCTGAGTGGAAGGCTATCACATTGAACTGTGACATACAGGGTGTCTCAAAAAAAGGAAACCGGGATTTAATTGCTAATTTCTTAAGTATGAATAATAATACGAAAATTTCACAGCTACCCTCCGATAGGTTATGATGTCCTCTTTCTTATGATACCAAGATTGTCCGTTTTCCTTCATGGATGACTGAGTTCTAAGGGATTTAAGCGACCATGTCAGAAATTGGTTTGTGCCACTTTTTCTTACTTGAATGACTGAACAATGAGAGATTAAAATGGCTATGCCAGGATGGTTACTTGGGTTTATCTCAAGGAAAAAGTCTACACAACATTACCAAGAGACATTGATGATTTAAGGACCTGGATTGTTGCAGCAGTGGAGGATCTAAGGGGAGAGACATCATCAGGGATGCAGTACATGTGATGAGATTTAAGGCAGACATTTGCATTGAAAGGAATGGGAGTCATGTTGAAGGACGCTTGGGTTAAAACAACTTTGAATGGACATTGGGATTTGATATGAGTAACTTTAATTGGAATAAATGAGTAAAAGAGTTTGTTGTTACTTATCACTATGTTATGATGATGAAATTGACTTGGCTGAAAATGGCACAAACCCATTTCTGACATGGTCACTTAAATCCCTCATTGCTCACCCTTAAGAAAAAAGCCATGGTAACCATGGTATTCCATGGTGCGCCCATGGTAATCCATGGTTTTCCATGGAAATTCATGGTTTTCCATGTTATTTTCCATGGAAATTCATGGACGCCCATGGTAATCTTCCATGGATATTTACCATGATTTTCCGTGGTAATTGTTGGTTTGGTAATTGGTTTTTAATGGATGTGTCATGGAAATGTAAAATCAACAATTTTGGTAGGATTTGTATTTACCAAAATCTCCAAAATGAATGTTTTGATGATATATCCCAGTTAGACTGAGATTTATCATTGAGAAAAAGGGATGGACATTTCATTTTGAAGGTATAGCAAGAACATTCATCGAATGTTAGACTCAGCTTACAAATGAGAAAATATGTGAAACAGCAGAGCAGAGAGTAGGCCACAAGATTTCAAAAACAATTGTGCAAAGGTCTTTTGTGTAGATCAAGACTAGATAGAGATTGCTTATTTTTTTGGCCAAACACTTCTTTCCTTTGAAAAAGAATTAAGTCAAACTAGCCCAAGCTCTGTTTTATTTCAATACTTTCTTTAATTTTCAGTTTTAAAAATCAATATGAAGTAATTTAAGAAATAAATAACTCATTTTCTTAAATTACATTTCGTACATTTGAGAATACAATCAAAAACCATGGTTTCTTTCTTTGAAGTTGAGAAAACTGCAATCAAAAGCCATGGAAGACGGTTGATTGCAATCGAAAGCCATGCTTTTCCATGGTTATTTCTTTGATGTTTTGGAAAGTGCAATCAAAAGCCATGGTTTTCCATGATTATTCTTTTGATCTTTTGAAAGTCCATGGTTTTCCATAGGCTATTTGTTTGGTCTTTTGGAAGCAGAAAATGAATAATACATTATGTTTCTAAATGAACTTCTCCAAATTAAGTCCCATTCAACTTTTATAAGCATATTATCTGAAAAAAGTCCACAGAAAAGTATATACTTTTACAGAATTTTGACTTGAAATTGAGATGGGGGATTAAACACAAGCCTATGGCTGCAAACTGAAATGTTATACCTAAGTGATAAAAATTCAATTTGTCTATGTAAGAATATTATATTTAAAAAGAAGTTGCATGAAGGAAGGGGAGGGGGTTAACAACACCATTTGGCTTAAAACATGAAACATAGTATAAGTAATTAGAATTGATTTGTCTTTGAATAGGAATAAATAATCATTTGCATAATTTTTAAATATTTGGTTGCCATTATTCTATGTTAATTAGGTGTCTTAACTCTCAAATTAATGTCAAAAGATTAATCTCTTTACAACAGATTATAAGAGTTCATTTGCATAATTCTTAAATATTCTGATCTTATTTATATATGATAATCTTACTCTTTCTAATGCTCCCTCTTCAGTAATTATTATTGTCTGTGAGTGTAGACAGTGCAAGTCAAAAACTCATTGTTGATCAAATAAAACCAAATAGGATTTACTCCAAGTAAAAATGTTTATTCAGTCTGCAATAAGGGAATCCAGTGAACTGATTTTATCACTTATTTTGTCTTTTTTTACATAAGTGCCAAAGTTAAATGATAGCAAATCCCAGCAAACAAATTATTACTTTTAATTGTGGGGTCAAATCATCAATTAAAAAAATATTAAGTAAACAGTTCTTTGTCATATGACACTATGTACAGAATGTACTAAACATATATTCAGATTGTAAAAACATGGTTGTATTTCAGGCCCGAAACCAGCTTTTGTCAAGAAGGTTGACTTTCTCAAAGATTTTGGGGTGGGGGGGTCATATTCTTTTATCTATGATTAATGAGACTAATTCTCAATCCAGCTTGGATTCATTCGTTAAAATATTGATTCAATTTTGAAGATTTTGGTAAAAACAAAACCTGCCAAAATTGTTGATTTTACAACTCAAGTGTCATAATTGTGAAAATTGTCAAAATTGCCAAAATTGTTGATTTTACAACTCAAGTGTCATGGTAAAAACATGGCATGTTCATGAAAAAACAATTACCAAACCACCAATTACCACGGAAAATCATGGTAAATATCCATGGAAGATTACCATGAAAAACCATGAATTTCCATGGAAAACCATGGATTACCATGGACGCACCATGGAATACCATGGTTACCATGGCTTTTTTCTTAAGGGAAGTCATCTGTGGAGGAAAATAGACATCTTGGTACCCTATGAAAGAGGACATAATGATGCAAATGATGGTATGTGAGTTTTCCCTAACATTATTCATCTTTGAGAAATTAGCAATTTAATCTCGGTTTTTCCTTTTTTTGAGACACCTTGTATGATAGGTTATACGTTTGAAAATAGCATCATTGTCAGGAAAGCATAACTCACCCTTTCCAGTCTTTTCCACCAAATTCAGCAAAGCCTCATCCTCTTCAAGCGTCCAGGGTCCTTTATGTATGAGAGGGTCAATCATGCTGTTCCATCTTTCATGACACTGCACCTGGTCTCTGCCTGGCACATGTTGCTGGATCTTCCACCAATCACGGCCTCCAAAGGTCTTCACTGCCTCCATCAATTGCTAAAGGAGTAATACAGAATAAAGCTAAAAACAGGTTTACTTTTATGCTGGAATCAAATAGGCTCAGTTTCCTATACAGAGTCATTTAGGAGTCACACATAATATTTTATAATTTATGGGATAGAGACAAAAGTTTGCAACTTGTATAATTATGTCAGTCACTAAAATAAATGACCATAATATTTCAATGTAATGTTAGAATCATTAACATACCTGGTCCTCAACCTTCGTCCACTGACCGTGTCTCTTATTGGGGTCCATCTTTCTCCACTTGCTAATACATTGGTTTTGGTTCTTGCCCTCCATGTAATATGCAACTGAAATGTGGGATTTAGTCATAAAAGAATGATGATTTCTTCACTATTGAAAGCAATTAAATCAGATGCAGTGCTCTCACTCAGCTGAGAGCTTAAAATGAACTTGCATATAACTGAACGTTAAGTTCCCAATTGAAAATTTGGAGACAGTTTATGGAAAATTTAAGTTTTAGACATCCAGAAAAGGTTAATGAGAATTTTCATTTAAAAACTATGTGACAAGCACTGATGTGATATAAATTATATTTTGAGATGTGTCAACATAAAATGGTACCTCTCCTATAAGATATATGATCTCCTAGTCTACAATGATCCACAACAGCAGCCAACAAATCCTCTTCATCCTCTGTCCAATCACTAAATTAATAGAATCACATTATCAACTTCAAATCTATTTTAAGCAAACGATCAAATCTTCTCCCAATGCCTTTTTTAACATTATGGATATAGAACTGAAGCGTACATTTACTTAACTATGTTAGCTACAGATTTAGCTCTTACTTTTTTCTCTATTTTGACATAGGAATTAATTCCAAAGAAACTCAAAATACACAACTCGGATTTTAAATTATTAATAATGAGAGGTATTGCCTTTTGTCTTTTCCTAATCTTGACTTTCCATATATCATGAATAAGAAAATGATATTTACATTTCATCTGTTTAAAAACACCAAGACTGTAACATGATAGTTGAATATTGCAAAATATGATTTCTGCATGTAGGTTAATGCATAATTTCTTAAATATCCGTTAAATGTTGACTTACGCATTTGTGTTTGTCAATTCTGGGTTAAGATTGCTCTGGTAATACTTCAGGCATTCAAAGGGTGTCCTATTAGTCTGAAATAAAGAAAAAATAACAATAATATGTATTAAATGGAACACCTTTCAATCAACCACAGTGATCTCCCCAGCATTAAAGCAAGTGGGCACAGCACCCACCCGAGATTTTAAAAACAGGCTTGCACCCACCTGAAAATGAGAAAAATCATGAAAATAGGCCTATTTTGAAAAATTTTGGTCTGAATTGTGAAAGTGAGAATTTTTCACACACTTATTTTGTATATACAGTGGATACTATATGTCAGATATTCATGTTCATGTGAAACATTACAATTGTATATATGGTCACAATGAGATCCAAATATGGTAAGCTATGAGAATGGATCATAAAATGGCTAAAGCAGTGATGGGTAAAAGAACCCTCTCTGAGACCCCTGACTCTTCTACTATCTTGTGAGAGAGACTTACATTCAATTTACTTGCTATGGTTGGCCATTCCTTGCCATTGTATTCCTGTACTAGACATGTCAGCCTCTCTTCCTCTTCTTTACTCCAAGGATCTTTGTTCACATCAACGTGGAGGTTGTGTTTCCACATAAGTTCACACTCTTTTGCATTATGAGAGCCATCAAGCTTTATAACATGGAAAACGTACATTTAATACATAACATTAAAAATAAAAATTCAGCTGAAAATATTTCCAACTCAAAAACTTTGAATTCTATATTTTTTGTATAATCTGCTAGACTCAAATGAGACTCAAATGTGAAGTATTTTATGACCCAAACCTAAAATTTAAAAAATATTCTAGTTGTATTTCATTTATTTTGCTTCCACCAATACTAGAATAACAAGTAATATTTTTTCAAAACTGAACAAAGCAAATCATTATTAATCATTTGTCGTACTTACATTGATTGTTGATATTTTCATCCAGTCAATTTTATTAGATTCTTCCCTTGTTCCAAGATAATCTCCTGGAGGGTTTTTCCTGTAAAGTACACATGTCATAAATAGAATACTATGTGCCAACTGATATCAAGGTACTGTAACTGCGAAACCAATCCTGAACAGAAGTCCCCTTGTTCATTTAATCTTACTGAACACAGTACATCGATGAACTTGCATGAATGGAGTTCAATGTTCTGTTTTTTATAACTAAACCTGATTTATTAAATCACTTCATCCAAACCTAATTATTTTTGAAAATAAAAGCAAATTGTTTCATGACTAGAAGTTTGAGATAAAATTTTCAAAATACAAGATTAATACAATGGTAACTGACTTTAATCTGGCCATGTCTTTCTTTATATCTTCAATCCTAGCTCTGATTTCCTCTTTTAGGTCAGGCATGGCAGCCTTGCTCAGTTTCTCATGCTCAATCTCCATTCTACAAACATCAAATATGTTTTTCCTTTATATAAAAACATGGCATGAACACATCTTTGCATACCAGGGAATTAAACAAGAATTGTGGCTTATTCATGATTTATTAAATGCTGTATACTTGTAAATCAATCTTACTTATGTAATATGAAGTCTAAATGCACCAGCCTGTTGATATTAAATGGTTTCAATATAAGTCTAGCCATATAAGGTACTATAAGGTTAATTATACTAACCTGGTCATATAGGGCAACAGCAAGGCTTGTAGTCTGTCTTGCTTTATAGCTTTAACTAGAATCTGCTTGTCCCTGTTCTTCCCTAGAATCATAATAAGGCAAGTACAGTGTTTACACTGTTTGTCAACTTAATTTGGGGGATTAACATGTAATTTGGCGAATTGGGCAAAATTGGTGAACTTTTCACTTTGGCAAATTTATTAGCCTGAGGATAAATATCTGTGAAATTGGTGAATTTGACAGGAGTGGGCCAGAGTAGATAAAATTGAAAAAAATGAAAAGAGGAAGCCAATATGGCGTATAAAATTATTGTAATACAACATATAGAGGCATGTCATCAATATAAAGATGAATGAAATGATACTACTGCAAAAGGATAAATATATATGTTTTGAGTCCATACTTACATTTTGTACTACACTTCATATGGGGGTCGAGTTGGCCTTTTAACTGCTTCAACCTGGTGTCTTGGTTGGGAGGTGGATTCTGGAAATACATAACAAAAAGTCAATTTATGCCTCAGCCATATTTCATCTATGGCAATCAGATGGCAGATGCAGATGCACTTTCAAAAATCAACAGAAATATGCAACATAAAGGGATAAGCAGCACAATGTAGTTTTTTTTTTAATATCAATTGTAAAGCAAATGTGATGGATGCTTTACTTTACATAAAACCTGTATCATAGAGCGGACACTCCTGAAGTATTCACTACAGATACACTAGGGTATTTTTTATATCTAAGTCATTGAATCATATGCTGGTAATGATGTTCAATAGAAACAGTTGTTCAGATTTTCCTGTATATTCACAGGTAGGGATCTAACAGCGCTCTCCTGCAAAAACTTCTTTTATACCTATTTTTGAAAGAAAACTTTCTTTTGTTCACTAAATACAGACACTACTTTAGTGAATCAGTCAACTTACAAGTTTTAGTGATGAAAATAATGCTGTAATGTGATATCATTCACATCACAAAACACATTAAGGGTGTATCCAACTCTTAAAAATGAATAAGCTTCACTATTTATTTGAATAAATTGCAAAACATCTAAAAAACATGCATCCAATAAATCATCAATATCAGGCTGCTGGAGCCTCCTAAAAAGATTCACATGAGTCCCCTTACATCCCCAACTTATAAACTATGTTAAAAATGAAAAAGCCTCCTTACCAATGTGACATCTACCTTTATTTTCTTTTTTTTCCGGCACAAGTTTTTCTACTTTTGATATAATATTATGTATATTGTGTATAATGTAAACCAGAACAACGGCAACGCCAAAGCGTAGCGAATCCCATCGAACATTTTTCAAAAGGGGCACCTTCTACCAAAAGTGTCATTAGACAGTGTGCCATGCTTATAATATTCACATACCAAATATGAACAAAATCGCTCTGCTACTTTTCGAGTTATAGTAAAATACGTTAAAATGGTGGCCATTTTGAAAAATGGCCGCTTTCTACTAAAAGTCTCATTAGACAGTGTGCCATGCTTATAGTATTCACATACCAAATATGAACAAAATCGCTCCGCTACTTTTCGAGTTATAGTAAAATACGTTAAAATGGTGGCCATTTTGAAAAATGGCCGCCTTTCACCAAAAGTGTCATTAGACAGTGTGCCATGCTTATACGTATTCACGTACCAAATATGAACAAAATCGCTCCACTTCTTTTCGAGTTATAGTAAAATAAGTTAAAATGGCAGCCATTTTTCAAAATGTCCACCATTTTTCAAAATGGCCGCCTTCTACCAAAAGTGTCATTAGACAGTGTGCCATGCTTACAGTATTCACATACAGAATATGAACAAAATCGCTCCACTACTTTTCGTGTTAAAGTAAAATACGTTAAAATGGCGGCCATTTTGAAAAATGTCCGCCATTTTTCAAAATGGCAACCTTCTACCAAAAGTGTCATTAGACAGTGTGCCATGCTTATAGTATTCACATACCAAATATGAACAAAATCGCTCCACTACTTTTCGAGTTACAGCAAAAATCGTAAAATAACGAGAAAAGGGCGCCATTTTTCAAGATGGCTGCCATGTGCTTTTTTAATATCTACATTTCTAGCTTTATTAATGTCCTATATAATTTTTTTTACATTTAAAACATATTGCTATTACAGTTTTACATATTGCACCTAAATTACTGTAAAATCGGCACTAAAATGGCCGCCATTTTTAAATGAGCGGCCATTTTGAAAATCAGCTTTCGAGCAGAACTTCTACCCCCATAGGGTATATGTATACAAAATATGAATAAAATCGGGCCAACGGTATTTGAGTTATTGCCCGGACGGACGGACGGACGTACGTACGGACGGACGGACGTACGTACGTACGGACGGACGGACGTACGGACGGACGGACGGACGGACGTACGTACGGACGTACGGACGGACGGACGGAGGCGTTCCCTATATCCCTCCGAACTTCGTTCGATGGGATAATTAAATAAATGGGCTATAAAAGCCGGAAAAAAATAGCAGCTGATATGGATTTGGGACACGGAATCAGGAATCAGTGGTTGTTCCCCTGTCCTACACAGGGAGTAATTCAATCATAAGATAAAAACTTATACAGCTGTGTATAATCATATTGACTTTTTAGGTTAACTTCCCTTATTGCAGGTTTTAGAGTAGCCAGATTTTATCTATGTAAAAAAAAGCTCAACGTAATAAAAATGAAAGGTTAAATTGGATCGCTCATGAAAACCTAATGCATGATATTGTGTTCTCCAATGTTAGCACGTTCAGAGGTCAACTGGTATAGTACGAGGCAGACCCACATTTTCACTGCATCACAGTGAAAGAAATGGCTGAGAGATTGTTGGAGAAAGCAGTGAGAATGAGGTACCAGGATGGAAATGTGCTGTTTTCCGGTCTCTGGCATCCTGATATGTTCACTGACAAACTAAGAAACCTAGAAATCTACAAAGATGATGTCTACTTCACTGGGTACATGCGATCAGGTGAGACCAGGGGGCACTTTTAAACCTACTTACTCACAAAATAAACCAATTTTAATACAATAGAACACCTTCCAATTTTATCACTGGTTTGATTTATCAAAAAATGTTTTACTTAAACATGTTTTACTACTGTGTGTCATTTCAAATCAATTTCTCGACTGGATGCATGGTAATCTTCAGTCTCAATTAGGTTTATGGTAATCTTAAAAATCTGATCTGGGAATATTATAATCTTCAATTCTCAACTGGATGCATGGTAATCTTCAAATGCTAAACTGGATACGTCACGGTAATCTTCAAATTCTCAACTGGGTGAATGGTAATCTTCAAATTCTCAACTGGGTGAATGGTAATCTTCAAATTCTCAACTGGGTATATGGTAATCTTCAAATTCTCAACTGGACACGTCACGGTAATCTTCAAATTCTCAACTGGGTATATGGTAATCTTCAAATTCTAAACTGGATATATGGTAATCTTCAAATTCTCAACTGGGTGAATGGTAATCTTCAAATTCTCAACTGGATATGTCACAGTAATCTTCAAATTCTCAACTGGGTGAATGGTAATCTTCAAATTCTCAACTGGGTGAATGGTAATCTTCAAATTCTCAACTGGATATGTCACAGTAATCTTCAAATTCTCAACTGGGTGAATGGTAATCTTCAAATTCTCAACTGGGTGAATGGTAATCTTCAAATTCTCAACTGGGTGAATGGTAATCTTCAAATTCTCAACTGGGTGAATGGTAATCTTCAAATTCTCAACTGGGTGAATGGTAATCTTCAAATTCTCAACTGAGTGAATGGTAATCTTCAAATTCTCAACTGGATATGTCACAGTAATCTTCAAATTCTCAACTGGGTGAATGGTAATCTTCAAATTCTCAACTGGGTGAATGGTAATCTTCAAATTCTCAACTGGGTGAATGGTAATCTTCAAATTCTCAACTGAGTGAATGGTAATCTTCAAATTCTCAACTGGTTGAATGGTAATCTTCAAATTCTCAACTGGGTGAATGGTAATCTTCAAATTCTCAACTTGGATTGATAATCGCCTAATTCTCAAATGGATGACAGGGTACATGGTAAACTAAGAATTTTTAATTGTGTGTATAATTCCAAAAATATCATTGTTTTGTTTGCAATCATTTATAGTAAAATGTGATATGGTACAAAAGGTATAGGCAAAAAAAGGCAAAGTACTCCGTTACAGATGCCAAACGCTGAACGCTGACATATTATTAAAAAGCTGTTAACTTCAAAGACCTCTTTGATAGTGGCAAAAAAATTCTATGCTGCAGGAATTTTCTACTTTAATATTTTCAGGCACCTACATTGGTCTTGAAATGGTACAGTTGGTGCTTAACAATGCAGATGTAGAGTACATGAAGAGGAGGGAAAGTCCTAGAGTTTAAAGATGACAGACATAATTACCTCTCTTGCTTACCACCTTCGTTCGTTCGAATTTTCATCGGCTAGTTATCAAATACTACACTTCGATGGGATGTTTTAATTGACATAGGCATATTCCGTACACCTTTCTTTATCTTGTTGTGAAATGAAAAGCTATGATATTGGTTAACACGCCAGAAATGAACATAATATTATTCGAAGCGTATTTCGAAAATTTTGAAACCACCATTGATGACGTCATTTGTTTGTTGACTTTTGACCAATCAGCGACAATGTCATCTCAATACAGATTTACATTATAAGCGTATGTCATCTTTGAACCCTGGTGTTTCTCCCCCTCTGAGTACATGTATAGTACACCTATACACGAACGGCAGAGCCATCTTTTATTAGGCAGGGATGGTAATATTTTTGTAAGGTTGTAAAAGAAAAATATGATATGGAAAACAATTATTTTGTATTTTTGTATTTGCAGGGGTTTCATTAGCAGCAGGCAACAGGCAATTTTCATCGATTGTTTTCACAAAATTGCCTGTTGTTTTTGTGTTCTTTTCAACTTTTCTATGTTAATTTATGATTTCCATTAATTTTGCCTGTTGTTTTCATTTATTTAGCCTGTTGTGAGAAATTCTAGTGTAACCCCTGATATGCATGTCATTTCTGAACAAGTGATACCATGAGTCTGTAGAATATTTATAGGATATCCTATGATTTTGAGGAATATCATTTTTATCTACGAGGTGATATTGATATCTGCAAGAGAGAGCAAAGCGAACAAGTGCATATGTCAATATCACCGAGTAGATTAAAATGATATTCTGAAAAAATCATAGGATGTTCTTATTATCCCACACTTACTAGTAGTGAACTAAATGTATAATATCATTGAAAAATGAATTTCACGCCAAATTCAATTCTTTTCAATTTCAAAATAATTTATTTCAGTTTTCATTACAAAAATTACAACATTATACAGGCTATGACACCCCAGGGGGTGTATAACTGCCCATAATTAAATTTACAATAAACATGATAAACTGTGAACATTTAAAGTGGTACATAGGTCAATACAATAATATAATATAATACGAATACAATATACAAATATAATAATATGAGACGATAAAGAAATAAAATAAATGTTTTGGTTATTCTGTACTCAGGAGGTCAATTTTCAAACGAGATAAATAGAGTCAATTTGGCGGGAAATCAACAAGGGTTTTCCGGAGTATAAAGTGATGACATCCTCCGGTCATTCATTTTGCCAATAGATATCAAATTTATTTTTTAATGTTATTATACATTTAGCACATTAAATGTAGGATAAAATAATATATCAAGTTAATAACAAGATAGTTAATGAATACTTAGATTACGCATCATTGTAAAAGTGAGAACACTGCAAAAATGTATATAACTTTGCAACTTTTATTTTGTGTTAGTTTCAGTATTTCATAAAACCTGAAATCTGTTTTGTCAAATATATCAGTCAGTAGATATTGCTACTGTTGTAAGCTTTCATGCCATTGGAATTATACTGTAAAGTGTGTGTTTATAGTTTTTGTACCTTGGTTGACCAATAGGAAGCCACCTAGAATCTTCAAAACACACGGTCTCTATGAATATGCCCCTTATGGTATAAGACAGGGAAAATGTAAGGTAAGAACAAATTTAGTAATTAATTGGTTTTATGTGTGTTTTATGGGAGTGGTTAATTGTTGTTACGATTGTCAGAATTTGATGTAAACAAATCGGTTACTAGGAAGTAGAGTTGAATGTAGGTCAACGCACATGCGCAGAAGAACACCATTTTCCTTTCATTTCTTGATACAAGGAGAAAGCAGGTTGTTATCTGAGTGAATCTCGCCCGCCATCCCTCCCCCATTTACCACCCATGAATTATCCCCCAACTAGGGTGAGATCAAGAAATGGTAAGATAGTTATATATTAGTAAGATAGTGGTACATGAAGGTAAGCAACCAAAGATGTACTGCCCGGCGTATCGCCCACCTGGGAATTCTAAATCGTCCTGTTTCGTCCAGTACAGTTGTGACGTGCATTAAAATGGCAGACGGAAAAAGATTTAAAAGTCTGAATTCCGATGAAAGGTTACGACATCTTGAGGGATGTGCATTCTAAAAACACCATTAAATCAACGGAAAAGTTTTGGAACATTTTCAAGTGTTATGTGGACAAAAAGATGTCAATAGATGTTAAATCTATAGATAAAATCGTTCTGGATGGAATTTTAGAGGATTTTTTTCTTGAACTGCAAACGAAGGATGGGGAATATTACAAGAATGCCAGTCTGCAAAGTATTCGTCATGGACCCAATAGGCATATACAAAGTCTACGCAATGATATAAATATCATCAACGACTCTGAATTCACCAGATCAAAGACAGCTTATGTTGCTGTGAGAAAGCATTTGAAATCATTATTTAAAATATTATTTATTTCTTTGAAATGCATTTATTGATCGTAGCGAATGTAGCGCAATTTTTTAAAAAAAGTGTGTCCTTTGAAAAAAAAGTTTATCCCCTATTTCTAGCCTGTTATGAGGTATAACTTTATTTTAAAAGCATTTTTTACCAAAACACCTTGAAGTTAATTATTCTTGCCGCGAATTTAAAACGGAAGTAAACGGACTGAATAAATGCATGTTCGTTCATTCGACAATGAATACATTTTATTTCATGAATAACCTAATATTTGTTTCTGAATAGGAAAAACTGTGGCGTGTCATGGTTTCAAATCTAAAAATAAACAAAGTCGAAAAAATTCGAGAGAATCATGATTATTTGTAAATATTCAACATGTTGAGCCTTATTTATGATTCAAATAAAGGTGAGAGATCATAATTATTTGTTTTTGTTAGGTATCGTTGTAAACACATTATAGTATTGACCTAAAAAAATTTTGCGTCCAAAAAACGGAAATATTTTCAATTTTTGCGTCCTCCAAATCATTTTTGAGTCCTTAACATGTACGGGACGCAGTTAATGCAAGCCCTGCGAATGTCTAGCAATGATATAATAAAACAAATATTTCATTCTATGTTCGGGCAATACCTTTTGCACTTTCAATGATTTTTGCAGCATGTGTTTCCCTCGCCCTTCGGGCTGCGGGCAATACATGCTGCAAAAATCATTGAAAGATGAACAGGTATTGCTCTCAATAGAATGAAATATTTGCTTAATACTTTTATTTGAAATTGAATTTAAATACTGCATTTCATTAGCTTAAAAAGGCATTGATTTTTCAAAATGGTTGTGATATCAAAAATTTACTGAATTATGTCGTCACATGAATGCACATGAATGCACGTGTATTCTCATTGTTTTGCTCTAGATTGTTGTACAGACAAGGAACCCCAAGTCAACATACTTGAGCTGGTATAAAGCATTAAAGGATAGCGCGTTTGTTTACTTCCCAGATCTAACATGGGAGGACTTCTTTGCTGCTGTCATCTCAGGAGAAAGCAAACATTGTAAGTTTACAGTAGTCAATTCATAAATAAATCATTAAAGCTGAAACACCAAGAAATACCTTAAAATGCTCAGGGATTTCATTAGCAGCAGGCAACAGGCAATTTTCATCGATTGTGTTCACTAAATCGCCTGTTGTATTTAGGGACTTTTCAACTTTTCCATGTTAAATTTATGATTTCCATTAATTTTTCCTGTTGTTTTCATTTACTTAGCCTGTTGTTTGAAATTCTAGTGAAACCCCTGATGCTGTAATTAATTCAAATTACCAAAGTTGGAAAATCCGTGAAATATCCCCAATTATCAGGGATATTACACTTCACATGAAATAACATAACAAAGTAATTATATATTATTTTAACTTGACAAACTTGCCTTAATAACTCTCTACCACCCGCCCCCTGTACGGTTTGCAACATTAAGTTCCCTTCATTCAAAAATTGCAAGGACAAAAAATAGCTTCACATTATTTTATGCAGGTATAGTATTTGATCCTTCATTAATTAGTGGTTCTGAGCTCCTGGTTTGACTTCTATCTAGCTTGGTGGAAACATAGGGATCATCTCGATGTTTACTTCCTCAACTATGAGGCAATGTTCAAGGTGAAATTATTTACTTTCTAACTGTGAGGCAAACTTTTAAATTTTACTATTATGAGGCAATATTTAAGGTGAATTTATTTACATATTCAACTATGAGGAAACTATGTACTTTCTCAGCGATGAGGCAATGTTCAAGTTGAAACTAAGTACTTTCTCAACTATGAGGCAATATTCAAAGTAAAACTATTTACCTTCTCAACCTTGAGGCAATATTTAAGGTGAAACTCTTTACTTATTCAACCATGATGCAATGTTCGAGGTGAAACTATTTACTTTCTCAACTATGAGGCAATGTTCAAAGTGAAACTATTTACTTTCTCAACTTAAACGTAGTTTCAAAATAGGTTATTACTTTCTAAACTATGAGGTAAATGAAATACTGATAACTCTCCAACCAGCTTGCAGATCATTCTCTATTACAGGATGGTAGAAGAGTCGCGAAAGAGTTAGCAGATTTCTTTGGAAGAACTTTAACTGAAGAACAAATCGCAAAGATATTGAAATATATAGATTTTGAGGAATGCAAAAAGAATCCAGCATTTTCAAATGTGTTCAAAAGTATGACAGCGATAAAATGCACACCAGGCCATATGCGTAAAGGTAAATTAGTACATGTATTAAGCGTACTCCTTATTTTTTCTTCAAAGCAATTGGGGTCATAAACAGAGAAGATTCCAGGGGTACCAGTAACTGGGAAAATTGGATTAGCTAATACTGTCATTAAGTTTGATTATCAATTCTGAGACATTAGGTCCATATAGTAATGTTGGCCAACTAAAGAGAAACTTTCAATTAATTCATAGATGTTCAGTAACGTTTTGAAGAGTGACAGGCGGTCAACAGGAAATGTTATCCATTTTGTTTGTTGATGTAAAGCAATATGTATTCACCACTGACCCTGTCTTTAAGATTCTCAAATGAATTATACATTAACAGCATTTCAAAGTAGTTCGTGTGTTTACTTTCAGGCAAAATAGATGACTGGAAGAATCACTTCACTGTGGCTGAAAGTGAACAATTTGACAAACTTTATGAAGAAAAAATGGAAGGATCAGGGTTTCCAGAACCTGTCTATGAATAGACATGTCATAAATAAAGACAGAACTATTTGAGTTGATATTATGTAATAAAGGACTTCAAGAAATTCATGACGCATATACAAGTAGATAAGGATACAATGCTTTGATGCCCATAATCCATTAATAAGAAAATACAGGGTGTCCAAAATAACAGGACCGTAAGAAAGATGAATAACTGGGTCAATTTTGCATATTTTGCCTTGAAGTTTCAGAATTATTTAGTTCATTCAATATGAATTATGTTGTGAAAGTTTGATAATTATTTGCCAGTTGAGTAAAAATCTGCAGTTACTTCCAAAACATGCCCTAAATGTGCACCTCTTCTCTCTATGCCCAATTCAATCCGGCGAACAAAGTTGTTGATGATCTTCCTCCACACATATCTTTCTGAATGGACAAGTTTATTCCAAGAACAATTGAAACTGGGGCTTACATCCTCCTGATGAAATGTTACAGCATCCATTGCATTCTGAACAATGCATTGCCTGGGTGGCAATGAGGAAACATGGAATCATCAGTCCTTTTTGGTTCGAAGGTGACTGGGGACGTGCTTTCACCATGAACAAGGACCAGTAAGTTCTCGCCAAGTTTTGGAGGTCACTAAGCACCAGAAGGGACATCTAAGGAGATAAGCAGTGGTTTCAACAAGCCAATACCACCCTAACACTGCAAATGATATGCTGAAATGGTTTAGACAATGCTTTGGTGATCAGCTCATCAGTCGCAGAACGCAAACCATATGGGCAGCTCATTCGTCAGATCTAAATTGCCCAGATTTTTATCTTTGGGGATTTCTCAAAGCCAATGAGTATACTGACAAGGCCCCTAACATTCATAAGAGGGCAATAACTACCCCAATATATATCATCCACATTGTGTATAGGTTAGGGTCATTAACAACTTGGTTCACAGTAAAGTGAAACCTGTAAAGTGGAGCACCTCTAGAAGTGGATCACCTCTGCAAGTGGAACAGTTTTCAGAGTTCCAAGAGCAACTGACTCAATGTAAAATGAACCTGTCTAAATGGAACATCTCCCAAGTGGAACACTTTTTAAAGGAACTAGAGGTGTTCGACTTAGACAGGTTTCACTGTATTCATTTGTGTATAGAGAGGAGAAGTGCCCACTTTTTGTTAATTACTGTAGTTTTTGACACAATTGACAGATTATCATCAAACTTCCAGAACAAAATTCACATTGAATGGACTAAATAATTCTAAAATTTCAAGGTAAAATATGCAAAATTGACCGAATTATTCAACTTTCTTACGGTCCTGTTTTTTTGGACACCCTGTAGTATACTGCCTGTAAGATGTATCTGAATGGTTTGGTGTTTCTGAATTGGTTCGGTGACCCAAACAAATATACCTAACCTGAGGAAGCCTTGCCCAAGTCTGTCTCTTTTACTTATCTTGATTTCTATTATGACCGCCTTGTACCAATGAGAAAGCCATGTGCTTAACCGACTCAATGTTTATGACGGATTTGACCAATCAACGACGGCCCTGCAGCGTTAGCTCATTATTATGCATGGTCAAGACAAGTACACTTTTCACAAACAAATCCTTTGGCAAATCTTGCACAATTCATCATGAAAAAAGAAATATTTTATCAGATAAATATCAATCTGAGTTTAGTGGATGCCGGAGCATCAATCGGATACCCGGGGGTGAGAAGATTTCTACAAGAAACGTTGAAAAGATTTCTGATATTGTCGAACAAGATTCAGATCAATCACTGAATTAGATAGATGACTACATGGAAGAGGTCTTCGTGCATTTTCATCGCAAATTCAGTTTTAAATCAACATTGGATCACATGATTTAATTTATATTATTAATTTAATGACTGCTTACATTCCAATGTACATTTAATTACATAGTATATTGTAACTCTGAAGAAATACTCGATCGGATCATTGAATTTCAAGTCATAGACGGGTACGTCGGGTAGTTTGCTTTGTTTATGCCGGTAAACCTGAAAACGCTTTGATTGGTATCAGCCTGAAGTCACACGTCGTGTCCACGCGATCTGTCAATCAATACGGCTTCGCGATACCCCTGACAGGGTAGGAATTATGGAAATCTCGAAACCGCTGAATAACTTATCATAATATCAGCTATGATGCATTGGATTGTACAAGGCGGTAATAATTCAAGATCAGAACAGTAAAAAATACCATCTTGGGCAAGGCTAAGGAAGCCCCACCAACCCCTAATAACAAGTATGTAAATACTGAAGCCACTCACCATCAGGTTTACATCTTTGAAGTAAGGAGAGGTGTAAACAGAAATTCTATTTTTGGGAGCTGCAGGTTCATCTTTTTTACTAGCATCTTTACGATGCTCTTCTTCGATTTGTGTCTACAAATAAACAAAGAATCATTAAAGAATTATAGGTTTGAATTAACCATCTGGTAAAATATAAAAAACAATTATTAACAAATTCAAACTTAATTTCCATTTTAAAAAAAATTATAATTTTAAAAACAAACGAAAAAGAGAAATGTCATGTTATAACATTATATAATGGATATAATTTGATTCTGAACCATGTGCCATAACGAGAAATTCTGCATCATTCAGATACCTTTCATCAGACATACCTAAGTCCATTTTAAACTCCATAAAAATTTGCATCGTTCAGATACTTTTCATTTCCTTAGACAAAATTCCATTTTTTATTTATTAAAATGACATAAACACAAAGACACCCCAGGCGGTTTATGACCTTAAATCACAATCCAAAATAAATTTAAATGGCATATTGTTGTTATGTAGTTGTTAGTCTAATTTCTCAAATTTTACCTGTCGTTCTCTATTCTGTGTTAGAACCAACTCAATACGCTTCATGTTTTCTGCAATGACCTCCTGGTATGCTCTATTCAGTGCTAAACATGTCTCTTCAGATACAGGAAGGTCCTCTAGACTGATGTTTTCCGTATCTTCAGGTAGGCCTGGTAGGGCACCACTGGATTGACTCATCTCAGGACTCTCTCTTGATGGGCTCTAAAATGAGAAACAACATTTTGATAACCCTTGTATAGCTTTGTGTGACTATAGGGAATATCTTACTAAAAATAGATATTCTCCACATAGTAGCAGTATTTTCCACAGAGTTGAAATTCCATCAAACATATAGCGGCCATCTTGAAAATTTCTTTTCGGGTAGATCTCCTTCATCCTGAGACATCAGCATGTAAAATTTGAACCAAATTCATTTACTGGAATTTCAGTTATCAATGACTACATTTTTAACGAAAAATGGCACCCGTTTTGAAATTCGGTGGCCATCTTGTAAATTTCTTCTTGATCAGATCTATTTTTCTCTAGGCATCAGAATCTAAGTCTGTCCACTGGTATTTGAGTTATCAAAGATAACAATCTTCTGCAAACAATGGTGGCCATTTTGAAATCCAGTTGCCATCTTAAAAATCCCTTCTCGAGCATAGCTCATGTGTCCCTAGGCCCTAAGCATCAGCAGGATATAAAATTTGAACCAAATCTGTCCACTGATATTTGAGTTATCAAAAATTACATTTTTTACATCAATGGCCATTTTGAAAATGTTTTCCTGAGCGAAGCTCCTTTGTCCTAAGACAAACAGCATATGAAATTTGAACTATTATTTGTTGACTAGTATTCAAGTTATCAGAGATTAAATTTTTTATGAATAAATGGTGACCGTTTTGAATTGAGCATCCATATTGAAAATTCCTCGAACAGAGGTCCTACACCCATAAAGCATGAGCCTGTCAAATTTGAATCCAATCCGTTAACCAGTATTTGAGTTACCACCTAGACAGATGGATGAACAGACAGACAGCTACTTCTCAATATCCATCTCGAACTTCATTTGTTGGGAAAATAAAATGTATAATTTTAGGCCAACAATTAGGTAACAATTCTTTTAGATGAGGGAGGGGACAATGCCTTTTTAGCAAAATATGTCACAGTTCAGATAAAATAAAATGAAATAGTTATTAATTTTACCTGTAATCTACTGGTATATGAGACATCATTAGGACTAGTGAGAAAGGCATCTCCTCCTTCTGCTTCATCATCTGGAAAACCAGTCAAAACTAATTACAGGATAATTGGGTTAGAAAACAGCGATCAATTTTTTGCCTTTTTCACGGGGAGCGATCATACATGTCGTACGATGTACGCATACGCGAATTCAAGGTTTCGGAGATATGTCACAAATGGAATTTTTGCGAAAAGTATGTGCCGCAGATTTAAAGTGTTTCACAGTAGTTAAAGGTCTAATAATTCAACAAATTCAGAGTCACCTATAGGTCTTTTTTCTGACCATTTTGATTGTGAAAAATAGGATTAAGGTAACAAATGAGACTGGCGCTAACATTCCAGAAGTTAGTAAACATTCATAAATATCAGCACATAGACTTTGTTGTGTCAACTTCTGAGCATAATAACAATATCCAAGAAATATACATTTGAAATCCTCTCAGCTCATGCACAATTCATCATGCAAATACAAATATTTTATCCAATCGATGCTCTTGCATCTACTAAACTCTGGTTGTAATTCATCTGGTAAAATATTTGTATTTACATGATGAATTGTGCGTGATTTGTTTGTGAAAAGTGTACTTGTTTAGACTGTGCATAAATAATGAGCTAACACTGCAGTGCCATCTTTGAATGGTCAACGTTGACAGACAATTACAAACTGTTGGTAAAGCATGTGTCAAAGTGATAGGAACAAGGCGGTGAAAATAAAATTAAAACAAAATCAAGACTTAAGCAATTGCTAAGGCCTGGCCTAATCCAAGGAGTATTGGCAACCATTATTCAAACTCTACCATACTCCATTGCCTGCAGTAGAACAATTTAGTAAAAATATTCCTATAAGGTTTCCTTTGGACCAAGTATTTTGTTTAAAGATAGTCATTACGAATATTTTGGTAGTATTCAAGTTTCCTCAGCAGTAAATCTTCAAAATATGAGTAATATTGTTACAAAATTGGTCTACGCCTGGTATTGAGCTTGAAATGGCTTCCAACCTACAGTCAGATTTCAAAATTCTATTTGGTACTTTGGATAAAAAATAAGCAATCAAATGACCATGTTGCAACAGTTAATGAAAAAGTAGAAACATAAGTACAAGGCCTAACTTTTGTATATTTCAGATAGTTCTGTATAATGTGCAGTTAAGCTGTGGCCTTTTGTAATTCAGGGAATTTCAGCCATGTTAATATTTTCGAAAATAACATAGCAGAAAGCAACAAAATTTAAGAGACCACACATATGATAGCCAACACAAATCAAAACAAGGCATTAACATGACAAAATGTCACCACCTAGTTGCTCACAATATTATGAGTTCAATCTTAAGTCAGATTTGAACTTCTGAGAACTTGAAGATGATTTAGAAAAAAATTGGTCAATTGAGGCAAAATTTTCTGAAAAAATCAAAAGATTCTGTTCAGTGACCTTTCTTGAGCACCTACACAAGCTATTTTTCAGTCACATTTTCAGACGGCTGAAAAGGTTATTTCATCATGTTTAAGGTCATTCTGACCATTGCCATTGTGTTCCCGGTCATGTAAATGATATGTGGAACTAGTTAAACTGACTGGGGGTCAAAACAGAACTCTGTTATCTTGGTTCAAAAAATTTTCAAATTTTGTTTTGTCATTTCCTGTTAACTTCCATGGCACCTTAATCTTTTTGAAAATACTTTGGCAGTCGAAGCATCAAAATATAAGAGGCCATACACCTTATTAGCCAAACTAGAAGCAATCCAAGATAAACACGCAAATGTCATTTATGTATAATGAGAATATATTTATCCATACATTATTGCATAGACTAGAGATCCGCCAAACTTCGACGTATGGGGTTACTTCGTCATGGGGCTATTTCGACCATGGGGTTTTTTTTTTTTTTTTTTATATAAGAATTTATTCATTCAAACTTATTAGCAAATACATAATTCCAATCGCCCGAAGGCATTATAGGAAAAATGGACATTTAAACAATATATATTAATACATATAATAAGTCATAATAGTACACTATACAACAGGTTAAAGGGGATGCACTTGTAGGGTGGGGATAGGGGAGGGGTGTTTGGAGGGGAGACTAAACAGGTTCACTTGAGGAGGGAATTCAGATATTGGCAGAAATAAAATCAGCCACTTTGGACAAGAGTTGCGAATTTGTTTAAAAGGGGTTATTTCGAGAATTGCTGATAATTCATATTTCTTGGGTCAGCCAACTTGGATTAAGATCTTGTCTGTTGGAGATTTCAATTTATTTTCAAAATTTTTCAAAAACAATCATGGCGGACTTCTAGGTGCATTCATGCACCCTCTGGGTCTCTGAGGATCGTGTTGGCCCCAGAGCCTCTAATGCAAGTCCATACGGCAATCCAACGCATTAGAGGCGGTGTTCACCGTCTAGGCGGACTTCATGAATTAGAAATATAAGCCAATGTCGAAATAGCCCATGGTCGAAATAGTCCCATGACGAAGTAACCCCAGATGTCAAAGTTCGATGGATCTCCCCTACAGTGGGGGACAAAAATAAAACTCAACGTTCACAAGTTGTCACAATGAGCTAATTTCCAAGTTTCATGTCTCAAACTCTCCCAAGCGGTAGAAAAATAATTCCCGTTCACTAAAGTAGCACAATAAATGAATCCAAAGCTTCATACCTGCAAATAATGGATAAATCCCTACCAAATCGAATGAATGATTTCATGAATCACCATGTTTGTTATCCAAGGACGGTTGACTCCCAGAATGCAACATCAGTTACCGTATTTACTCATGACAGGTTTCAAAATGGCGGAACAGCATTTTGAAAGCTGGCACGTGTCATGTTGCATTCTGGGAGCCAATCCTCCGTTCCAGCGCAATCGGGCGACAAAATCACCTCAACATTTGAAGAGTTGGCATAACATGTGAATATCCACTTCAACTTTTGAAGTTCTTATTTGTCATTAGGGACACAAATTCCACTATATTTGGACTTACTCAGACAGAGAAAATAGAGCACTGAATACACTGAGGTAAGAATTTAAAGTGGGGATCATAAAGAATTGCAAAAGCTATGAAAATTACATGCTGTCGCACATGTAATAAATTCTTACCTCAGTGTATTAATATATCAAATATTGAGGTGATTTTGTCGCCCGATTGCGCCGGAATGGAGGATTGGCTCCCAGAATGCAACATGACACGTGCCACCTTTCAAAATGCTGTTCCTCCATTTTGAAACCTGTCATGAGTAAATACGGTTAACTGATGTTGCATGCTGGGAGTCAAACGTCCTTGGATAACAAACATGGCGATTCATGAAAACATTCATTCGATTTGGTAGGGATTTATCCATTATTTGCAGGTATGAAGCTTTGGGTTCATTTATTGTGCTACTTTAGTGAACGGGAATTATTTTTCTACCGCTTGGGAGAGTTTGAGACACGAAACTTGGAAATTAGCTCATTGTGACAACTTGTGAACGTTGATTTTTATTTTTGTCCCCGACTGTATTAGCAGAGCTGTCAAGTGTCCCGCGAATGGCGGGATTATCCCGCGAATTCGATCAAAATTAGGCTAATTCGCGTGTCCCGCAATGTCCCGCAATGTCCCGCGAAGTCCCGCAAATGTGGCTTTCGACCTCCGCGAATTTCCGAAATTGTTGCAATGCCCTATATTGTGATTATCTTATCTTATATAAGAAGCTAAGTTTTTGCACTTTTGAGGAGTAAAGTTTACCTAATTTTAAGTACCTAGCATGCTGTTGTTTGGTATCAAAATAAAGAGGAAGGGTTCAACTTTCATTTTAATTACGACAATAGGGATGTAGGTCACAAATAGTTCCAATGTTGGCCTTTTTACTATCCGTGTGGCCTTCATCTCAGAACTGAGCAAATGTTAGCAAACGCGAGTTACAATAAATGGACGCTGATATCTAGAAAGGGTTTGTAGAAAAAACCGGGTACCGGGTAGTAAATCCTCCATGCTGGGTTCAAACTTGGTACCCGGTACCCGGTCAAAAAACGGGTACCCAAAAAACAAAAAATACGAATATACGAGTATAACATAATTAGATTATCAGAAAACGTGTAAGATTTGTTTTGAATTTACAAAAATGTATGTAACATCCTTCAAAATTGAGCTAGAAGCTTCAAATAAAAAGCATATTTTAAGGCTCTTTTCTTCCTCTATCGTCATGACCATATTTTCATTGGTTATGGGGGGGGGGTGCGATCGCACCATCGCACCCTCTCCTGGCTACGCCTATGACATTGTAAGACATAACAATTTAGTGGACAATTCAGTGGACATTTTGTCGACAGTTGGGATAACTTAAATTACGATTAATAATCAAAATCTTACACATTGCATCATGTAAATTAACACACGTCACCTCTCTGCTAAAGCAACGATAGCAATTTACAGATTTAAATCATAATCAAAACAATTCACGTACCAACATACGAACTATTGAAAATAGAGTAAAATTGATTTGCCTTGTTATTCAAATCGTCTTACAATGTCATTGGCGTAGCCAGGAGAGGGTGTGATGGTGCGATCGCACCCCCCCTCCCCCTTCATTACCAATGGAAATATGACCATGATGATAGAGGAAGAAAAGAGGCTTAAAATGCTTTTTATTTGAAGCTTCTAGCTCAATTTTGAAGGAAGTTACATACATTTTTGTAAATTCAAAACAAATCTTACACGTTTTCTAATGATCTAATTATGTTGTATATTCGTATATTTCGTTTTTTGGGTACCCGGTTTTTTCGACCGGGTACCAAGTTTGAACCCAGCATTGAGGATATACTACCCGGTACCTGGTTTTTTCTACAAACCCTATCTAGAAAAGTAACCTCATTCCCTATAATTTGATGTAGATTAATCGAACCCCTATACCCATGGGCTTTCAATTGAAAGCCAATGCCTACAGTATATGAATAGGTACATTTTGATATATAATATTATGGGCTTTCAATTGAAAGCCCATGCCTACAGTATATGAAAAGGTACTATGAGGTTATATAATGGTTCATTCTGTATATCGTGTTTATACTCGAGTGAGTATATAATATATTCACAAGTGAGCGTAGCGAACGAGTGAATATATTATATTCTCACGAGAGTATAAAATGCACGATATACAGAATGAACCATTATATAATCTTATTATGCCATTCTAAGTTCAATTACAGTTGATTCAAACACAATCATAACAATTATAAAAACCATAAAAAATATCCCATAGCCAACTCAGTAATGCCGATGTTGATCTCGATCCATTTATGACGTCACTTGATTCTAGTAAATCATGTGGGAACCGTTTATGACGTCACTTGATTCTAGGAAATCATGTGTAACAAAACATACACCTTGTTCTTCGGTCAATATTCATTAGTTCTCAGAATGCACTTCTACAGTGGTATACGCTGTATACGGAAGAATGTATACGATGACGATATACCACTCTCCACTGTATATCGTTGTTATAGACCCATGTTATACAACTGTAATCGGACTTAGAGTGGTATAAATTTTGATATATAACATTTTGGGGGTAAGCGTTTCATATATATTTGGTCACGACGCCAGAAGTGCAAAGTATTGTTCCAAATTTTTGAATTTCGTGTTAGATTACGATACTCACACCTGAAGCATGGTTTTTGTTTTTGATAAATTACAATAAAGTTTAATAATATTTCTATGCTATGCGTATTTTGTGAAGTTATGTTGACGTTTATTTAAGTTACAATGTAACGGTGCATTATATTTGATTAATCAGTATCTGAAAGTTTGATTTAAGTACTTTTACACGCTTTTACATTAGTCCAAATCACGCAAATCCCTTGAATGTCCCGGGACATCCTGCAAATTTAGGTGGATGTCCCGCGAAATCCCGCAAATTTAGGGCACTTTTTCTAGAAAATCTGTCCCTCTATGAAGTTTTTGCTGGTAAACATGTTAACTGTCCCGCAATTAGGGTGTTTGTCCCTCGAATGGTCCCGCGAAATCCCGCGAATGTTGATAAAAAAAATTGGCCTATAAGCGCAATCACGCAAATCCCTTAAATGTCCCGCGAAATCCCGCGAATTTAGTTGATGTCCCGCAAAATCCCGCGAATTTTGGGCACTGGGTCTAAAAATCTGTCCCGCGAGAAAATCTTTGGGGGTTGACAGTACTGTATTAGATATATCTACATGTGCGACAGCATTTAATTTTCATAGCTTTTGCAATTCTTTATGATCCCCACTGTAATGACCTTTTGATTTCTTATTTTTTAGGTTTTACTAACGCAATAAAACAGTGAAATAATTTCGAATGTTCCCGGGAAAAAGTAAATCACCTGGATTATCATCCATGACGAAACCATCTTCGTCTTCGGAATCATATTCTGAGTCCTGTCCGTCTTGAAGAGCTAACTTTAGACGTTCTATATCATCTGCTATTTTCTGCCTATCGTTCCAATCCTCTAACTTAACTGAACTAGCCATTGTTACTAAGACGTTAGCAAATTAATAATGACAATTTTGAGCTTCTCTGAAGGCCCATGCCTCCATTTTGCGTTGCGTCAGATGGCAAACTTTTTAACGGAAATTATACAGAATGTTTTATCAATTTATTTTACTGTCATATTTCTTATTTTCAGTTTGAATCAAATTAAAATCACTCACTTGAAAATTGATTGTTACTGAAATACTTATTTGATTTAAGTAAAATAATTTGTTAAATTTCGTTGTTTGATTTTCATCAAGTTTGACACACAACTCTTCTCCAAAACACAATTTGGGTGTTTTTATTTTATTGTAAATAAACCCTATTTTAGTGCTCAAAATGCCCCCATGGTGTACTAATAGGCGATCTACGTGTAAAGATATGATATAGTCTATATGAAACAACAGGAATATGAATCCTGAGAACACAGGAGACTCGGTAAGTACCTATAGTTTCTTGTCTATTTTCATGGTGGACATGTCAAAGTTGCTCCAAACTTGACACAAATTCCTGAAATTGAAACCTCAATTTTACTTATGTAGGGCTCTACCCAATGCTTGTGTGATATATACAACATCTTGATGGAGACATGTCTTATGATAATTTACTAGGATGTGTCCAGAAAACATTGGAACAGATCTACGCCATTGGCCTGGGGCCATGGGAAGTTCTCCATTTAGGCCTATTAGTATATGAATACTCCAGATTTGGCATCTTGAATCCCAAAAAACTGGCTCCGCCCTGAGATGTTGCTATTCACTGACATTACAACTGGCAAGAAATTCATAAACCATACTATCGAAAGGTTTATACTTACAATACAAAGCTGATACAAATTAATTGATAAGTCGTATAGTTGGCATATTTTCTTGAATTTTAACATTTAATGTCCCAAACTCCCCCAAACAAATACTCTGATTGGTTTTAACTTTAGTGCGCATGCGCACGATGTGTGCCATGTTTTTTTCTTGTGATTACATTTCGTTCCATGGAGTTTGTGTTTTAGTGTAACTTCCGCAAAAATAGCGGACTAATGACAGAACTAACAGGTAAAATCACTTCAAAATTTAAGAGAACTTTTTAAGAGTCTCAGGGGTATATCGGCAAATCCATTTTGGTATGGGCACTCTCTGTTTAGTTTGAAAACCCACCCTTTATTATTTACTGTCAGCACTATACCAATTCCGTTATGTGTTTTTAATTTTTTATTTATGGAATAAGACCAAATCTTGCAATTTAAAATCTGAAACGGGAAAAATGTTTAAATTGGCGGCATTTGAATTTGTAATTATGACATCCTTTAGATTAGCCTATTCACTCATGACAGGCGGAGTGAGGAACAATTCTAAATTTTCCGATTTGTTTCATTATTTTTATTTGATCAATAAAGCCAGTTTGAGGTAAGAAAAAAAAATGGAATGACAAGCATTAAGTCAATGATCTCAATTCAGCCACCAAGGGAATAGTGATATAAAGTCTCTGAGTAAAATTAATTATCATTTAATTTGCTGAATAGCATTTTGTCATATACATGTTTAATATTTTCAAATGTTCTGAAAGTGAGGCTAGCAATGATACAACAGATGACGAGGTTTCCAATTTAATTCTATAGATTAATTTAAATGCAATATATCCATTCCAAAACCAATATAATACAGTAGGTATATATTCTAGGAATATATGAGGCCCAGAGTTCTTTTTTAGGAAGCAAAATCTGACTGTTTGGAAAGGGTATTCTATAAACACGCTCTGGTAAAAATATTAACAATACTTATATTCTAAATGCAGTTTCTGCTAATTATAAATATCTTAATACACATACGTTACTATATAGTTATACTGTGGTTCTTATTTCCTATATGGTAAGCTTTAATTACTTGAATAAATATTGCAGGTACCAATATCCTGTAAATTACCGAAGTACTGTACTAGACTTCACAAGATGTGCCATATTATATTGTATAATGAGAATTTCCTAATTTCAATGCCATTTAGTAAAATTGACATGTCATACAAAATTTGATAACATTTAGTTCAAATATTTTTGATAAACAGTTAGGGGAGAAGGTGTCCAGTTATCAACAGTAGTGGAATAACAAAGTTCATTTCAACAATAACTTAAATTTTTTATTTTCGACGTTTCGCTAATCATTACCCTGCGTGCAGAGTCTAGTTAAACTACAAGACGAAGCTCTCTTTTAAGAAGTGAAGTCAAACGAATGCAAAGGGTAGCTAATCATCCAACTAGCTATTACATTCAAAATGGAAGTACACAGTTATATTATGAACTTAAGTTATTATTAATATGTTACCAGAGTGATGAATTTACACAGAAAAGTTCATTTCATAATTGTTTGACCCCCTCCCCTCATCTACTAACAAAATGTTAAAATGTTGATTTGTCTTTCACTTGAGTATTGAATAAGATCAACACTATTCACTAATGAAACCATCATTTACCCCTCCCCTTAATGAAACTTAACGACTGTTGATGATTGGAAACCATCCCTCACCTGAAAATTCTTGAATATATTTTATCAGCATGCAATGTGTTTTAAAAGTTGCAATACTTTTAATTTTATTATTCATTTAAAAGAGAATATTGATCAGCAACAGGGTACGGTGTATACTCAAGGTCAAAAACCATATAATTATGTGGCTATTCTATACATTTGAGGCATTTTGGATGTCATTCAACTATTTCATGTTTAAAAGGAAAAAGCAGTGATGCGATTCAAAACATGAAAGTATTATCAATAATGGTGTAATCATGTTTAATCCATCAGTCAGTAATATCAGTTTGTTTACTGTATCATTGCAGTTTTTCATCAAGCATTTTATATGTATCACACTTTTCCCATAAAACACACAACACACACATTCATACACACACCAATCCAGTTGGCATTTGCACTCAATATTTATTAATAGCTTCAAATGACCAGCATATATTATAATAAAGAGGGTGGAGGGGGTACTAGAAAGACTAGAGTACATTTGTAGAACTATGAACTACTTTGGCTTACTTCTATGACTTTCAACTATATGATCATAGGAGAGGAGGAAGAAATGAAATCATGGCATATTTAACTGCTGTAGTATCTCTAGTTGTGTGTTCCAATGTTTATTATGTGTCTGTATATGGATAAGGCAAGATAACAATACAGGCAACAAAGATAATAATAGAAGGAAGAAGTCTCTTGTTTTTTCCTGTTCTATAGTTTCACTTCCTTGATTCTTAATTACACAAAGAGCAGATAAAGTCTTCTTGTATGTTTAAACAACAGCAAGTCAAGATTTTGTAGAAATAGCATGAACCTAAAACTTCAGCTGTAGTGTCTATTGTGGTTTTATATATACACTGAGTGTTGGAATAGTAAGACGAAGCTCTCTTTTAAAGGGGAGACAAGGCCTGTAGAGGGAAAATTAGATAAATTTTACTTTTTCCGAGTTATCAGGGCAACACTTGGCAACATTTGAAATACCTATTTTCTTAAGATATATGAATAAACTATCAATTTCAGCATAAATTCAGTTCAAAGCTTCTACAAGGGGAGTCCCACTTATATATTTTAAAGATACACCACGTTTCAAGATGAATATCAGCTGAAATAATGTTCATCTGGAGGTTGTTGCACCTTTAAGAAGGAAAATTTAACTGTTGAAAAGAGTGGGCCTAATATGACTCATGAAGTGGCTTGTTGGTTTAGTGGATATCTTATGTTTGGTTTGCACCTTTTTGAGCTCTGATTAAATGGCTTGGTAAATTCAGGTCACTGAGTCATGTAGATATCAATATCAGTAATATTGACTTATATGATAAATTTCAAATCATTCATTGTGTTCCAGATACAATTTCAATTACAATTGGAATATTACATCTTTCAATAGATGTCACTTATCAAAATAAAGCAATTTTTCAATTTATAATTTTGACTTGATAATTGTTGCAGGATATAAGCTACTCATAAGCTACATCATAGAATTTAGGGGTTGTATAAAAATGTTATAGTTGTATATCATGTCATTTTCATTATCTATATGATCCTGGATTTGAGTTTATCCATTGAAGCAGTTTGGTGCCTACAGATCTTTTATTTGTATTAAAACTTACTTGCTATTGTGTTTTGAATATATGTTGTCAATTAGGAGTCATATCAAAATTTTGAAATCATCTATACGAGTATTTCACTATTTTAGAGATCAATAGTAATCAATGATTTGGTTGGCGGAAGGGGTATACAAATGCATTTTCTTAGTATGCATTATAAGTGCATGTTTCTTTCACTATAAGTACATGTTTCTTGGACTTAAAGTGCATGCTAAGAAAACTGGGATTGGGCATGATGTTTTAGAGTATCACCTTGACCTCTTATACAAAGGACAGAAGAGCAAAGGAAATTGAGGTGTGGGGGGGGGCTTTTGAGATTGCAGTTTTCATATGAATACTGCATGTATAGGTTTTCAGTATTTTGATATGGTTCCTTACTATCTCGTATTATTCACTATAAAATGCATAACATTTTCTATTTGCTTTACAGTAACTAACTCTTGGCTGCTTGCTAACACTCACTCATACTAACACTCACTCTCTACTAACTCTCAGTACTAACACTCACCTGCTGCATTGTATGGAGGGAGGCTAGATGTTGTAATGGCTCAGTGATAATGCATGTATGAGATTATGTATAAGTTTGATGAACGACCACGGGATGATGAAAATGAAGTAAGTACTGCCATCTATGTTTGCTTGTAGTCTTGCGTCAAGATTTGATCATCCAGTTTCTTTATTTCTAAAGAGAGCAGAGGCCTGAGAAGGGAAGGGGGTGTTTGGAAATAATGACTTGATGCAAGACTAATTATATTTTGTGCATGTTATGTTGTAAGATGCTATAGATAACTTAACATGGTTTATGTGCTGCATGTACATATTCTGATACACCTGACCCTCCCTTATCTGTGTGTAAGAGGATCAGAAAGGGGTGTGGCCAACTACTTAAATTACGGAAGATATGAATCTATCATCCTTTGGTTAGAAGTTTGACTTTGGATCTCTAAGAAAAAAACTCTAATCAGTGTCAGCCTTTTCTTTTCATTTTGATAATGACCTCAAATTCGGTGTCATCATGACTTTGGAGTTTGAATATGAAATAAATGTCATCTACTTACAAAGGTATATATTCTGTGACTGTAATTCTTACAGTAACGTTGCTTTATTGTGGATGACCTTTTCTTATAAGGTAATGCTTGATCACAAGTCTGTTTCTAAATCAAATACAGTGAAACCTGTAAAGTGGAACACCTCTAGAAATAGAACACCTCTGTTAGTGGAACACTTTTCAGAGTCCAAAGACCCATTGACTTAAAGATCTAATAGCAAAGGTTTTGCAAAAATAAATCAATGCAGTGTAAAACAAATGTATGTATAATGAAGAAATAAATATTTAATGAAAAAAATAGATATGTGTTTGTAATATTGGTATTAACTTAAGATTAAAAAGTGTCAATATCTCTTTCATTTTTCAACAAATATAGGCTCACGTGACATATGACGCGGGGCAGTCAATTTTGATCTATCGTAGACCATATCAGTATCAAACTGCCGATATTTCAACCTCGTCTTGCGAGGCCATTTTTATTTGAAACATCTTGAATTTGGTGTCAAAATAAAGCTGGTCACGCCCACTTTCAGAGTTATCAATGAATCATTTACTACGACTACTATATTCATTTAGGAGGCGTGTAAAGTTAACCAATCAGAAAGACAATTGCTCCATATATGACAGTTCATTAACATATTCAGTGCTTACTATTGTTTTTCGCGTCATGACAACACGAGTAGTAACCAATCAAAATGCCGTATTTTATCACGTGAGTTCAGAGTGACATGCACGACATGTAAGTTTAGTCTGAGCTGATCGCGAACAATTTCTTCTCGGAATTTGTCCAGAGAAATCAGCGATTCTAAATTAAGGTAGGATCTCCCATTTCTTCCTGTACAAGTTTTAACTTATCTCTATCGAATCCTAAAGTTTTGAATGAAGATATGAAGCATACGTTTAAAAACGAAGCGATTAATTTGACGATCTGATTTTGCAATTTGCAATGGCCAATTTACTGCAAGTCTGCGTGTATTTGACAAGAGATAGCGCCAAGTCTTGTATCCGAATGCTTGTTAAGCCACTCAAAAACAAGATCCATATTTTCTAAATTTGATAACTTTGCAGAGAGCCCGTTTTCATAACCTGTTTTCCGCGTCTAAATTCAAACTGAGTAGGATTATAGGATCGCTGGGATTCTCAGTCAATGGCAACGGGTCTTCATTCCAGAACGCTCATTTTTTAGTTGATTCTCCGTCATAGTACTTGTCTAAAGTCCATATCTGCTCTTTTACTGGCATACTTGGACATATTTCCCCTCCTTAAATTGTCCTCCTTAAATAACACCCTCTCGCCGATTTATATATAGCCATTTCCCAGAACCCGGGAGTCAGAATCGCTGATGTTTGCCATATTGAACATGTTGAAATATGTACTGTAATATCTGTAATACTAGGCATTGCCTGCTACACGTAAGGGTCACGTGACTAGCGCGATACAGGAAAAATGGGGAATTTCGAAACAACAATTTTTGGGTACTTTTATTGCAAATTTCAGGTATTTATAAGTGTTTGTGGTATAAAATATAATCCACAGACATAAATGAACATCCAAACTACATATTTTATTACGTTTTGGAGCCTTTTTTGCTTTTAAAATGACATCTTTAATGTTAGATGAACCTCTATAAGTAGAACACCTCCCAAGTGGAACAGGTAGTGTACAGGTAGTGCCAAAGGTGTTCCACTTAGACGGATTTTATGGTGATTGAAAGTAGCACAATCAAGGTGTTGGAAAGGGTATACTGTAAAAACCTACCTACACACTACTCCTAAAATTACCTAGGTTACCATATACTGAAGATGATTTACTTATTAGTCATTTTATGCTAGCTGCAGGATCTAAGAATATATGTCCTTAATGAGTAATGAAACATGTTATTGGATTGGTATGCCAATCATACATGTTAAAGGGTTACTAAGTTTGGTTAGAGAAAACTCTGTTCCTTTGAAACTGAAAATAATGTACAGTGAAACCTGTGAAGTAGAACGCCTCTAGAAGTGGAACACCTCTGTAAGTGGAACAATTTTCAGAATCTCAAGACCAACTGACTTGTTAAATGAACCTCAAGTTGAACATGGAACACCTCCCTTTTTTAGAGGTACCAAAGGTGTTCCACTGAGAAAGATTTCACTGTATATGCTAAGTTTGAATGGTAAAAACTGCAGTAAATCTGCTGATCGGATCTGATCAGAATGTTGAATCATGTTCTAAAATAAATTCCCGCATCTATCACAGATTCATGTTGAGTCAATCCCTCCCTTTCTGAAAATGTTTTCCTTTAAGTTCTTGTTAGAGGACAGGCCCGTAGCCAGGATTTGCCAAGGGGGTTCACTTTTTGAAAAATTCCAGGGGAGTTCACTTGTGACAATTTTGGTCCAAAAATGGCCAAAATCACCTAAAAACTGCATGATTTTGAAAGATTTTTATGGCCAGGGAGGCCATTCTTATTCTTGCTTTGAGAACCAGTGGACCTCTCCCCCATATCTACTTCACCAACTCAACACACCCCTTGTGGAGAGGTGTATGTATAGTTGGGGGGATCACAATGGCTTGTAACAAGACTACTATATCTAGTTGCTAAATCACTGTGTAATATCACTTTTATGATATTACATGATGGGGGATGATGAAACAACACACCCCTTGTGGAGAGGTGTATGTATAGTTGGGGGGGGGGATCACAATGGCTTGTAACAAGACTACTGTATCTAGTTGCTAAATCACTGTGTAAAATCACTTTTATGATATTACATGATGGGGGATGATGAAACAACACACCCCTTGTGGAGAGGTGTATGTATAGTTGGGGGGGGATCACAATGGCTTGTAACAAGACTACTGTATCTAGTTGCTAAATCACTGTGTAATATCACTTTTATGATATTACATGATGGGGGATGATGAAACAACACACCCCTTGTGGAGAGGTGTATGTATAGTTGGGGGGGGGATCACAATGGCTTGTAACAAGACTACTATATCTAGTTGCTAAATCACTGTGTAATATCACTTTTATGATATTACATGATGGGGGATGATGAAACAACACACCCCTTGTGGAGAGGTGTATGTATAGTTGGGGGGATCACAATGGCTTGTAACAAGACTACTGTATCTAGTTGCTAAATCACTGTGTAATATCACTTTTATGATATTACATGATGGGGGATGATGAAACAACACACCCCTTGTGGAGAGGTGTATGTATAGTTGGGGGGATCACAATGGCTTGTAACAAGACTACTGTATCTAGTTGCTAAATCACTGTGTAATATCACTTTTATGATATTACATGATGGGGGATGATGAAACAACACACCCCTTGTGGAGAGGTGTATGTATACTGTATAGTTGGGGGGATCACAATGGCTTGTAACAAGACTACTATATCTAGTTGCTAAATCACTGTGTATTATTACCTTTATGATATTACATGATAGGGGATGATGAAACGTGTATTTATGAGAGCAAGTGTATGTAATTATATATAGGTAAGTGTCATCATCTGACAATTAAAACAGGTGAAACCAAAGAGTAATTAGGTAATTACACCTGTGGCAAATTCACTGTCAACTTTCCATAATGTACTCCACAACATACCTAATTAGGTTTGTCAATTATAAAAAATTGAATATTTTTTCTTTTTGATTTACCCTAATTATAAATGTGTATCCTTTATCAATTATGTTTATGGCTTATGAAATATCATTTTGATAAACAGTTTATAATCATTTGATTGATGGATTTAAGAATTTAAAATTGGTACCACTGTGGCCTATTAAGAAGGATTGACGTTATCAACAAAAACAAAACATATGTCTATGATGTAGATTGTTGAAATCAGGTCAAGAGCATCCTGACTCGAGATGGTGAAATTGTACTTAGACAATAGTAATGTATCAGTTTACTGAATGGGAGGTTAAACTGTCTCACAAATTATCAGTTAGAACCATCTTGACCTGTTTACAGTATTCCTAAAAGAAATCTATTGAGAGTATGTTTAAGAAGAAAACAAAAGTTTCAGACTTTCAAGCAGTATTTAAGTTGGATTAACTGTCATTGAGAGAAGGAATAGTCAGCAGTCATATGAAATAGTCAATAGTCATAGGAACAGTCAAAAGTCATAGGAACAGTCATATAAATAGTCATTGGAGTTTGTCTTTATTTTGGGTCGGAACATTATCGTAAAAGTTGGATTTAAAGATACTCTGCAATGAAGGTGAACTATTTAAACCCAATGAAAGGCTTAAAACGGAGACATACTGTAAAGGTAATATTTTTCTGTATTGAGTTTTTATGTTTTCCTGCTAAAAAAGTCATACTTTCATCTAAGAACATTCTACTTTCAAGAATGAAATAAAGACAGAGAGAGCCAGACTTTTTTTTTATTATTGTGCAATAAGATAACTGTGTATTAAAGCAGATATGAAATGGTATTTTTAACCTAAAGGAATCAATATAATTTTTTGATAGATGTATTTGGACATTTTTCTCATCAGTAGTGTGAAAACTATTTCACTCTAACGATCGTTATAGCTGCTTAATAAGCAATATTCGAATTGGTTGTGACGTTATTGGCCCCCACGTGATCTCTCACTGGTCCCCACGTGGCCCGTTTTGGTCCATTAGATCATGACGCCATAATGCCAAAATGTTTTGTTATTTGTTTACACAACAATCCTATGGTTGCCGTGACGTTGTGATTACTATGGAACCAATAAACCAAAGCTATATTTTGTATATGACGTTACTAATCACGTGGGGGCCAATTTGATTTATCAGTTAATTTTATTTCGTTATCTATGACCGTTAGCAGTTATCTAACATTTATTTTATAATGGCTATCGCAAGAACTCTACGGTGGGCTTACAATGGAGAAAACCGCATTTTCGTAGCTGCAAGTTGAGAAAAGCTATTTCAGTTGTCCTTTAAGTCAAGTTAATGAGACAGAAAATTATGTGCAGAATTTATATGTCAGTTTATACTGATGTTTAATATATTGATTTCATTAAAGCTTCAAACCAAAATGAAACATTAACACATTGATACAAAGAAATTAGATAATTATTTTCAGTGTATTCAAACTTATAACCTTTTTAAAGCAATTCAAGCACAGGCACAATGTTATATGATGTTCTATTGCATTTATTATATGCTGTTAATAAAAGATGTCACTTTGGGTCAGTTTTCTTGTTTTTCCTTTTTCTTTTTCTTTTCTTCTCCTTTTTGCTCTTTTTCCGTTTACAATTGACTTTATTTGGGTTTACGCAAGAATGAAGTTTTTGTTTAAACATCATTCTGACTTCACAGGTGCCATCAGTATCATAGTGGAGACAATTACAATCTTGGACGACACTTCTTCCTCCCTTACAGTTTATAAATGTTGTACAGTCTTCAGAAGCCATGTCCTCATATAGTTTAGATGTGTGGAATTCTTTGTCAGACCGCATTGGACATCCTCCAACACGCACAATCTTAGTCAATTTAACATCAATTTCACTCAAAGTACGTGTATTTATTACTGTAAAAACAATAAACCACTGGACTCACACTGGACTCACACTCATGTTCCATGCCTCGATTCAGGCCACAAAGATTGAAAAATTTAGTTAATGTGTTATTGTCTCATAGTACGATGTTCTAAAGGAGAGGGAGTTGTTTGTCAAATGAATTGGGGGACACACCTTTTTGGGTTGAGATATAAACCAAAACAACCCAAAGAGGTGTGTAATAAAGATTTACTTTTCTGTTATCTCAAAATCTGCTTGGACACTGGTGATCCGCTCGATTGCACTGGTTACCGAAACAAAATGTCGGAACGTCGAAGGTACGATTTTTCTTTTTTCCTTATTTCATGCGTTGTAGGCAGAATCCCCACAACACTTTTTCACACAAACGTATATCATATGTTTTAGAAAATGTACATGTTTGCGAAAAAATAGCTCAGAAGACAACAGAATCGTCGATTTGATTCCTCACTTAAGTTACAAAAGCGGTATGAGTTAAAAGTGCAGATCTTAACTGTTTTTCGAAATATCGTTTATGTAACTTAAGTGAGAAATTAAATCGATGAAACGTACCGTTTTGGTAGCCAGCATAATCGAGTAGATCACCTGTCTTGGAACTGTACCATTGGATTTCTATGGGAAATTCCACAAAGAGAAAATTCTAGGGATTAAGGAATGTGTACAGTTTACACAATTTTAGAAATTATTGGCATACATAAAGCCTAAACAGAATTTATGTTATTCAAAAGCGTTGATTAACAATAATTCCCAGCCTTCTGAAGAAAAATTAAAATAGATAATCCTTGAAAATGAGAAATATTTTGGGGATTATATAATGGTGCAATCTTACAGTCAATAAAATGTTTTAAAGTGTATTGATATTTTTTGTGGAATAAAAAACATAAGGGAAATGCATGAAAAAAAACTCCCCCAATTCATTCGACAAACAACTCCCCCTCCTTTTACATTAAAAATTTTATTGTTCATTATTGTCATCATGCAATCGGTGGAAAGGTTTTAAACTTTTTAATATACTTTTATTACCTACCATCCCCTTGCTTATCATCATCATCTTCCGAACTGTTCAAATAAATTTCAGTGTGATATTCAACAAATTCCTCCAGTTGACCTGCAATGATTAAAACTATTATTTTGAAGCACAAATAAAATAATTCTAATGATCTGACAAATCACTGAAATTTTTTATACGCCCCATCTAATTTATTTCTGTGTTAAACATCACCTTTCCTCTTTTAGTTCAAAGAACTGTAAGCATTACTTCTTGGGTAATCCTAGATATGAGGCCCCATATTCCCATTTTCAAAGAAGTTAGTTTCTTAATAATTGTACAGATATAAAATATGGAAAAATTTTTGAATATTAGTCTACAATATGTTTAATTTTGTAATTTATTTAAATCCATTTTTAAAAACAATATTTTATTTTTATGCAGTCTGAACTTATGCATTTCATTTGCATGGACTTATTTAATGCGCTCTAATTTAGGAGCTCTTAAGTTGATATCTGTTTTTTGGCTTACGTGTATTTGATTTATCCATAGTATCATAATCTGTAGCTTCTTATACAAATGTACTGTACCTACCAAATGCTAAGTCCAGATATGACACCAAAACTGCACTAATTATTAAGCATATTGTCACAGCTTTTTTCTGCATCTCGTCCTGTTATATCTTGTGGAAAATAGAATGTCGTATATGTCTCCTAAATCTTTGAAGTATAATAATCTAACAAATCCAAATACAAACAGATAGTTTACATTAAAGTAAGCTTCTTGTTATCACATTGGATGAAATATTATGTAATCTTACCAGTAGCATGTCTGCTTGCTGTATGAAGGCGTGTAAGTATATGTCATTATTTTGCTTTTATTTCATTATTAAGAAACAATTTGCACACATATTACAAAACCTGTATTTGTTGACATATTGTACCTTCAATAGGTGAAATAAAAGTATGCCATTGAGATTAAAGTGGCATTGAATATAAGAATTGCTCTATCCAGGAAATATTTTGGGTGTGGTGGAAACATCTTCTGTATAACCATTCAATCGGGATAAATTGTATTTATATCATATTTTATCCCTTTTATATACTATTATCATGGGCGTAACCAGCTTTCAGTCAGGGGGGGGTGCTATCGCCCCAAAATATTTCGATTTTCAGTCGGGGGGGGGGGAGTTTGCGATCATGGCATATGCGAGGCCAAAAAAAAATTGTTTAAGATTTGTTTTGAATTTTACCCCAAAATTATGTAACTTCCTTCAAAATTGAGCTAGAAGCTTCAAATAATAGTATTTAAAGCTTTTTTCTTCTATCTAATGGTTCTATTTTGATTGGTTGGGGGGGGGGGGTGCATTCACACCCATCATACCCCTCTGACTACACCCATAGGCTAAAGGTTGTGGTAGGAGCTAAATAGACTGTGGTTTAAAAGTCTAGCGAGAGCCCTGAATGATATCAGTTCAGATATATAGAGGATATCCTATTTCAGATTTTAATGTAAGCCAGGATGTATATTTCAAAACTAGATCAAAAACACATTTCAGTAATTCATAAATTATGCATAATTGTCATAATGCAAATGTTTAATATTGTAATTGTAGTCTTAATGTTGAAACAGGTATCGCACAATGTTAAATGAATTCATGATCAGTTTGCTAAGTAGATATATAGGTAATTGGTAGGTATCTCAAATTCTGGTTTATGTGTGTTTCCAGCTGAACTGTCCCATGCTCCATTTTCATTTCAAGAACCATCCTTAGAAATGTCTTTACTATTCATTAAACAGTTTGCCTGGAAATATACATTGTAAGACAAGTTCTTAATTTGCTAACTTGGCAAAAATAATGAATCTGTAGAATAACTTGTCAACTTTGTCTTTGTCGATTGAATTGCCAAAATGAAATGACAACTGGTAGTTTTCAAAATTACATTCTCATTACATGTATTGATGCGGAATGATGCGAAAGTTTTTTCTGATTAAATCTGTCAGTATTTCTGCTTTCCTGAGATTTATATATGTAAAACAGATGGGTTATATCTTTGACTTCATTTAAAATTCAAACAGTTTTAAACATTTTAATTATGGTATGAATGAATCCGAACATGGAATTTTGGTATTACATGTTATCATAAATGCAAATCATGGCAAAATATAACAAAACATTTCCATATGCCTTTGTGCTGTACAGCCTTCTTGTCTTTCAATAAACTAAAACTAAAAATATATATAGCAGCTAATTTCTTCTTAATTTTTAATTATTTGACAAAAGATTGAACAATCTAAATCCAAGGGATAAAGTCCATAATTTTAATTCTGTTGTCTTATTGATCAGAAGTTCCTGTCTTGATAAAAGATGTCACTGCTCATCAGATTCTACTTCCTGTTCATCAGATTCTTTTTTCTCATTATGGTTACACTTCACGAGACCTGGGGTTACGCAAATGTGAAGCTGTGGCTTGAATCTCATACGGGTTCTACACGTGCCATCGACGTCATATTTATAGCAGTGACATTGCTGTACCTTTCTCCCCAAACCGCAGTTGATGAATGTCGTACAATCCTCAGAATTCTCATCCTCATACAACTCAGATATGTGGTACCTGCTGTCGGCTCTTCTTGGACATCCTGCGTAGTCTTCATCAACTATAATTTTATGGAAAAATATTAAGATCAGACTTTTTCAATTGAAACCGTGTAAAAGAAGTTGTATACAGTATTATAATCTCTTTAACACAAATTCTTTTTGCCAATTTTAATTCGCCTCACTTATTTTAATATCCTGTCAACATCCTTGTATAATTTTATTCGAGAAAATCCCTTTCTCAAAAATATTGACATATTGACAATACCTGTTTCCAGTTGTTTTTCTTCATACAGGCAATATTTTGAAATTCAGTTCAAAGGAATTTCACTGTATTTTGCAATTCATTTGATCTATGAAACATATCCCCATAAATATTGTGATCTTTTTGAGATACTTTGGAGGCATCTACCATCATCAGGCCCATAGCCAGGGGGGGTTCGAACCACCCCCCCGGCATAAAAATCGTTCAAAATCATGCAGCTTTTCACCACTCTTGAGGACTTTTTAAGTGATTTTGGCCATTTTTGGACCAAACTTGTCACAAGTGAACTCCCCCCTGAAATTTTTCAAAAAGTGAACCCCCCTTGGCAAATCCTGGCTAGGGGCCTGATCATATAGTATGTGGGTTACAGAAACAATGGAACAAAATGATTTGTTTTCTAATGTCTCTTCTTCCTTATAGTGAAAACATTTCTAAATAGAACTTGAAATACTTACTTATATTTTTTCCCTTTTGGTTAAGTCTTCCCCGACTGTTAAACAAATTGAGATCGAAGCCACCTAAAATTGTTACGGCATTAATATTGTTGTTTTATTCAAGAAGATTCTAACACAAAGCCTAGCATTAGCATACTTATCAACTTTTTCTATCAAATATCATTTAACACTACTTGCAAACTTTTTAAACTTTATTAATCTAAGAAGTGCGACAAAGTTTCATTTTTTGTCACCTCCACAACTTGTATTGTTGTGACTGGAGCAATTTGCAAATTTTTACACTTTTATTATCTAATTTATGCAATAACCTACCAAATTTAGACATTTTCCCATGTTAATGCATTCTCTTACTTACCATATGCCAAATCCAGACATGACACAAATACTGTCATAATCAAACATATTGTCATCATTTTCATTTCCATACTAGAATGGGTTTCCTTCTGGACTTATCTTTTATGTGTTTTCCTTCCTGTATCTCATCTGCCTATCTATCTTCTACTACTGTAATTCAAATAATAGAAACGCAATTGTTGCTTTATTATATGTCAGTAGGCCACATGTATTAATTATTTGTTTAACTTTTAATGAAGTTTAGAACAAATTAATTGTTACTTTTTGTAAATGTATGTAAATTATTTTCAACTATCTCAGGTAATCCCATCTTTTTCTGTAAAAATTAACTGTCAGGAATCTAAAGTTTCATTTAATCAAATTGGCATTAAATATAAATTAAATGTCAAATCTAAAGATTAAATCGCTATCTCCCGTAAACATCACATCTTTAAACAATTAATTGAATATGAGGTAATGACAAAACATATTTAATTAGATATTTCAAATAAAAGCGTCACTCATCCAATCAATATTGTTTTTCTAGCTTTAAATTAATCTTATAGTTAAATTATTAAAGGGGGCATCAATCATAAATAGCAATCTGTTTGAAAATTATTTAAAAAACATTAGATTAGAAAAACATCTAGATTTGTATTTTGGATAATTAAGATCATATTGATTTGTAAATTGCAAAAATATATCACACCATTTTCTCTCTCTTTATGGCAGACTCAACCTTTAACTAGTAGGTGATGTATCATTATATACTGGAAACAAGACACTTTTATAGGGTCTTTCTGATTTATGCTGATGCCTTGTCACCATACTAAAGTATATAAGTCAGTAGTGAATATAAGATGTGGGATACTTTCTTCTTATCGCTCTGTACAGTCATTGCAAAGCAGATAAAAATCAGTCAAGTTTATATTTGTAAGGTATATGTGCTATCAAGTCTTGGAAAGGGGTGGGAGAGAGGTAGAGAGGACCTACAAGAATGTAATATTGATCATTGGCTGGGAGGGGTTAAACATGTAGGATCCAGGTACCCTGCACACAGAGTCTAGTTATAAACTATCCTCTGCCTAGTAAAGACAATATTAAAGTTTAGCAGCCCTGCCCCAAAGATTGGTGCCTGTGACAGCCCGGGTAATTAATCATTTCAAATCTACCACGCTGAACCTTTCTCAACCAATCAGTGAAGTCGAAGGAACACGTGTTAAATACGTCCTCATTTAACTATGCGGTGATGTCAGAGGAAATGACCATATAGAAAGTCATCTGTAATTCGACGACGATCTCTGATTGGTTCGGTGAGATCAGAGATTTATTGTATACTGAAAGAATGAAGACGAAGCTCTCTTTTAAGAAGTGAAGTCAAACAAATGCAAAGGGTTCCAGGGCAGTTGTAATTGAATTGTAAGAATTGTTACCTTAACATTCTCTTTCCAACAATTTATTCCAGAGTTAAACAATCAGTCATAGTTGTAATGTTGATTAATAGCAGGAATTATGATTAATACTTATAGAAAATTAATGATTAATCCTTACTAATTGTTATGACAATCAATTAAATTTTTCCTTATTGTTAAATCTGTAATAATCCTTGGGAAAAAGAATGGGGTTTAAACATTTTCAGGATAATCGTCATCAAATTACATCTGTATAGTTTCATCTGTATAGTTGAATAGTTCATCATTAAACATGTATGTTATACAGGCCCGTAGCCAGGGGGGGTTCGCAGGGTTCGGGCGAACCCCCCCCTGGCCAAAAACTCTTTCAAAATCATGCAGTTTTTCACCATATTGAGCACTTGTCAAGTGATTTTAGCCACATTTGGGCCAAAATTGTTAAATGTGAACCCCCCTGGAAATTTTTGAAAAATGAATCCCCCCTTGGCAAATCCTGGCTACGGGCCTGTTATAAGTAAGGTTTGTGAAAAATAATCAAAGTAATTAACAGATTATAAACTATCTGACTCAATACGAAAATATATTTATGATTTCTCATGTTTTATTGGTTTTATGAGTCTTTTAATCAGATAATAAATAATTGTTAATTGGTATTATATAAAAAAAAACTGTAGGCTAGGCAAGATAATTAATTAAGAAAATAACAGTATAATATAATAGTACTTTTATATGGAGTATCATGTATGTTGTATGTATATTAACTGGGCTTTTCACTTCCATATGAGTTAAACTAACATCACTTGACAAAGTTTATGTATTTCATTGAATAATTGTATTTTGGGATATTTGAAAACAACTGTTTCTAAACAAACTTGAATTATTCTTGAACTCTGTTGATAGATGTTTCCTCAGTGATGTTTTCAATATCAAGAGCAAGAGGGGGGAAAGCCCCAGCGCTTTAGCGGTGACAGACATATTACGTCTATTGCGTTACGGTGACCTTCATTTGCGCAAATTCTCACCAGTTAGTTTTCAAAATATAGCGCGCTGTTGTGATGGTTTAATCGATTTAAGCATATTCTTTACGTCTTTCTCTATCTTGATGTGAAATAACAAGCTCACCCTTGGTATACGCAGCTAACAAAAATTGACCGGTACGGGTTAACGGTTTTATTTGAATTTAAAACAGCCATAACTTGCTCAATATTGACTTCCTCGTGTCTAATTTGAAATATATGATGCCTCCCGATGCTTTTAAGTACCCCAATTTTTTACAGATTTTTAAACAGACCAAAACTCTCTAAATGCGCATTTATGCTCTTTTCTCTCGAGAACGACTGTCTCATTTTCGGGGCAATAGCTGATGAAATTCTTTGTCACAAAGTTTGGCATTTTTTATAAAATCAAACGCGCGTCATTGAAACTCACAAGATGTAAATAGCATGTCATTTACATCATACCTTGATGGGGAAAAATAGATCTTATATGTTAGAAGTACTAAATAAAAGTTCTCGTGAAAATGAGACAGTCGTTCTCGAGAGAAAAGAGCATAAATGCGCATTTAGAGAGTTTTGGTCCGTTTAAAAATCTGTAAAAAATTGGGGTACTTAAAAGCATCGGGAGGCATCATATATTACAAATTAGACACGAGGAAGTCAATATTGAGCATGTTATGGCTATTTTAAATTCAAATAAAACCGTTAACCCGTACCGGTCCAGCTTTTGACCCGTACCGGTCAATTTTCGTTAGCTGCGTATACCAAGGGTGAAGCTATGGTATTGGTTAACACGCCAGAAATTAACATGTTCGAAGTGTTATACGTAAATTTTGAATATGCCATTTTTGTTTGTCAATTTTGACCAATCAAAGACGTGGGTCATCTCGATACAGTTTTACATTATAAACGTAAGTCACCTTTGAACTCTGGGGTTATTCCCTCCCTTGTCAAGAGCTTTATCATGTTTCAACATCAACATTTATGTATCATTTCATCCATAGCACATTAAAAAAACAGATTTCATTCTACTTATATTAGATAACAGAGATTGTTTAATACAATGAAAAATTATAAAGAAATATTTACACATTTGTAATAAAGTTTTATGATAATGAAATTAACCTTTCCTTAATAGTCTAGTAGTGGCTGCAGATCTTCTAAAATAGCATAGAAATAATATATAAGAACATCTCTATAAATGTTGAAGGTCAATTCATCAATTGACTCGATGTTGATTGAATCTTTGTAATGTGTGAATATCAAGTAGTCAACACTTTTTAGCAGTACCAGGGTGCTCTTGTCATACAAATGCAGATAAATGAGAATATATTTCTGCTTAATTTTTAATCAGTCATTTGTGTCAAGTAATTAGAAGAGCTAGCAATACTGTTATAGGGTGTTTTTGGTATTTTTACGACTTTTCTGTTCTCAGACCCCATAACCATTTCCTTATGTACTGGGATATTACAGAACTGAAGATATTTGTGAAATAAATGGGAGCATAATTTTGCTTATCGCTTCCTTTAGTATCGCTTTAGAAGAACATGCAATAACATGTCAGAAGCAACCTTGCATTTAGTAATAGGGCAATCTGTAGAGCCATGTTCAACTGTAAAATTAACACTTTCATTACATTTTTGAAATTTGAAAGTATCAGTCAAGACTTTGAATATAAATTCTTCAAGTTCAGATAAGTTCTGTTACATTTCTCAAAAACAAATTAAAATATGATACATTTTGAGAGAGGTAGTCTTTACTGATGATGTAATGCTGAAAGTGGTGGTTTAGACCATCCCTGAATCTGGTGTTAGCTTAGGAGAGATCTACATGTTTGGATCATGGAACTCTGGCTCGTTTACCTGTAGCCACCTGAGCTGTATGTTGAATAAGCTCATTCAAGATCTTACTGAGTCTCTTGATTTTCCGGGTTTATCCCAGCAATGCATGGGTAAACAAAGTACAGGATATTAAGGAATATGGAAGTTATCTTTGGATTAATGGCTCGTATAGCAGAACTTCATTTCAGTTACTGATAGTGTCAAGGGGTAACCTTGACTTCTTTTACTGGCTTTTCACTTGAGGATCGATCCTTGGATTTGAGCACTTATAGCTGTAAATAATCATAGATCGGAAAATGGAGGAACATTTATCAATGAAATGAAGCGAATGTTTGTTTTCATTTTATTTATGGAAATTAAAAGTAAAGGAACTAAGTACAGTATGTCAGGATGGTGGAATAAATAGGCAAAATTTTCATTTATTATTCTACCAAAATATCCTATCGAAAAAAAAGCTATTTGGATGTAAGAAATAATATATTTATAATTTGCGAACGTAAATGGAGAAATCATTTTGTGAGCGCACATGTAAATGCAGTTACTTTACCCATTTCTTATGTATGGTTAAGTTCACAATAGAATAGTTTTTAGATTTTCAGATCACGAATTAAAGTGGAAGGATTGCCTAAAATCATCTTTTATTAATTCATAATTATTGAAATTGTATCAGTTTCATTGAAACTCTGAAATGAAACTCTTAAAGTTAAATACATGTTATAGTTGTTAAGGTAAAGTATTCCACATGACATTTATATTTCAGTTGAACGCCCTACAGGAAAGAATTCTTTTTAATGCTTATGTCATATGCCATACACAGTGTGGCTATTTTTGGTGCAGTTTCCAATCAGGGTAGGTTCTGGCAGACCAGCTTGTATCACTGGCAGTTATGTAACCTCTCTGTAACCCTACTGGTAATAGCGTTT